TACCGAAGTAGCGAAGCACATTCAGAACTGGCTTCGAAATCAAAGGGAATTTGCTGGACAGTGTCCACCATCGAAAAATGTCGTCGTACAGAAGCAAAAGAAGAAGGATCAATGAGGGGACAGAGCGATTTGTTCAATCAATTCAATCAGCGTTAGGCAATGGAAAACAAGAAGAAAGCGAGCAAAGTATTAGTAACACTTTAGTTTTAGATAATAGTATCAACATTAGTTTAGAAACTAGTATTTTAGGTGACAAAAATATTACTTCCTTTGTTGAGAATTCTAATTTCATTGATATTGACATTGATATTGAGTCTCAGCCTCAACCAGTGCCCAGAACACTAGATTTCAAAGAAAGTCTCAAATTATGGAGCCTTCAGCACAATATAACTCATTCAGCTTTGAGTGATTTACTTAAAATTGTTAACTCGGAATTTCCTGACGTAAAGCTTCCTAATTGTTCGAAAACATTTTTGAGAACCCCTAGAATCATTTCAGTTGAAGATATTGCTGGAGGGCAATATTTTTATTTTGGAATAGAAAACCAAATAAAATCCTTGTATGATTCAAATAATTTAATTTTTAGTTTCGAATCAATTTCATTATTATTTGGCTGTGATGGGTTTCCAGTTACTGAAAGTTCGAGTACTCAAATGTGGCCAATCTTATTTAGAATTAAGGAATTTCCCAAAATTAGGCCAATTTTAGTTGGACTTTTCTGTGGAGAAACAAAGCCTACGTCTTTGAGGGAGTATTTAGAGAAATTCATTGATGAAATCTATCATTTACAACAAAGTGAAATTCAGTTAACTAGCGAAAAAAAAGTAAAAATAGTTTTGTATTGTATCGTTTGTGACACCCCTGCCCGTAGTTTCCTAAAATGTATAAAAGGACATTCAGGCTATAGTTCTTGTGAACGTTGTGACATCGAAGGATTTTATGATGGTCATGTGTATTTCCAAACTGAGGTAGGGAATTTAAGAACAAATGAATCTTTTCGTAACAAATGTGACCCTGACCATCACCAGTCTGACTCACCCCTATTAAGATTAGATTTAGATTTGGTTGGCCAGTTCGTGTTGGACTATATGCATTTATTTTGTCTAGGAACAATGCGAAGACTTTTATATCTATTTATTTCCGGCCCGTTGTCGTGTAGGCTATCCTCTAGAATGATGCAGATGATCTCTGATTATTTAGCGTCAATAAGAAAAAATTTTCCCCGAGAATTCTCACGCCGACCTCGAGGCTTAGCTGAAATAAAAAGATATAAAGCCACAGAATTTAGACAATTTCTTCTATATACTGGTCAATGTGCTTTAAGAAATGTTGTGCCTGGCAAAAACTTAAAACATTTCTTACTTTTTCATACTGCGGCGTATATCTTATTATCTCCTAATGCAAATAATATTAAATGGAATTCTATCGCTAAAACTCTTCTTTCCAAATTTGTTCAAGAAATGGCTGAAATTTATGGTCGTAAAAGTATAGTTTATAATGTACATGCGATGAATCATATTGCAGACGATGCACTTAAATTTGGTTCATTAGACAGTATTAGTGCTTTCGCATTTGAAAGTTATTTGTTTTCTATAAAAAAGTTAATTAGAGGGAATAATTTACCATTACAGCAAGTTGTAAAAAGAGTGATGGAGTGGGGGCAATGTCAAATTTCTAAAAGTGCTGAACATACTGTGAAAATTTCCAACAATATTGTAAAAATGTCAAAAAAGACAGAACTCAAAAGATACAGGATTTTGTCGTACTGGGTAACATGCAAGATGGGTGACAACTGCTTCATTTTAAAAAATAATGATATCGTAATTGTTGATAAAATATTTAAACTCGAGGATGACGTAATGATTAGATGTAAAAAGTTCGATAAAATCACATCAGTTCCAGATTATCCTTTTGATAGTTCACTTCTTGGAATAGTTAATGTATCCATAAAGCATTGTTCAACTATTATTATTAACGTGCAGAGTATTGTAAATAAGTGTGTACTAATTCCTTGCCAATTAGATAGTGTAGATACATTTACTTGCATTCCAATGTTAAAAATCATTGATTAAAATTAATAAAGGATGTTATGTACATTAATCAGTAATCTGCATGTTAAATGATCTGGGTAAAATGCATACACAGCAAGCAAGAATTATGCACGTTTTATTTGCGTGGTTGGGAAATATTTACGCACATTTTATTTTCATCTTGCATACCATAATACGTGCGTTATCACTGTGCGGTAAACGCACGTTTTACTTGCGTAGCTTAACGTGTGTATTTTCTGTGACCCGCTCTGCCATTTTATACAACATAAAATTCGTGCGTTTTATTTACGGTATACCAAAGAAATATGCAATCCGTTCTTTACGGGTATTTATGAAGTGAGAATTGATGGGCAGCGTTGTGAATGAATTAAGTGCCCTCCGCCCCATTGTGCTCATCGTCTTGTTCTCAAATTTTGACATAGGAGCAGAACTCCGTCAGATGTGCATGGACAGGGTGCACTTTCACCGTCTCCCACGTGCAACTTTTATGAAATGTGGAAAATATTTATTTATTTTTGAATATATTTATCTTCGAATTAAACTTCCACTAAATTCGGCAATTTATGTTGTAGCAACTTCCAATATTTTTTACTCTAGGTAAAATATTTTAAAATATTTCGTTGAAAAGTTCGATAAAATTCAACAGAACTAAAAACTTCTCACTCACCTGGCTTACATCTAATTTTACATACACTTTCTAAAATAACGCGAAAAATATATTACGGCGTTTTGCTTACCCAAAAAAGCATGCCAAGGTTAAAACTGGCAAAAAAGGCTATAACGTTTACCTTTGACGCAGACAAATTAATGAGAAACCATGCAACGCAAACTGCGCAATATTTTCACAAATTTCAAAGTTTGCACAACTATAAAACGATTACCAAAACAAACTCAACATACAAACTTTGGGCAAAATTGAGAAATTCGAAACAATTCGAAATCGAGAAATTCGAATTTTGTTAAATAAATGTTGAAAAATTAGTATTAGATTTTTGATAAGTTTTCACGAAAATCTCACTTTTCGCCTCAAATTTAGCAACCCTGGAGCCTCAGAATGTTGTTATGAATGAGAAGAGCCCATCTGTCTGCCTTCACCTCGGCCACGAGCGGAAGGAAGTACAAAACCATTACAATCTGTTTCCTCCTCTTTCTGGATCTTGTCACCGTCCTTCCTACGAAATGCCACTCGTTGCCCCGTTATTCGCTTTAGTCAAGTGCTGAAATATTAATCGACTCCTTAAACCCAGTTTCATCCCGTTTATGCAAATTTCTCGATTTATGCTCAAACTACGAAAATATTAACGAGATTTAGATTTTCCATTTTGAATTTACGCAAAACTGGAATCTCTCTTGTGTAGCGAAACATATCACATAAAATGGTCACGGATGCGAAGAAAATTCTCGTAAATGGAGTAAAATATGGAAAATTGGGGACAGTGAAAGTGAAATAAGATCAACCGAAATTATATTGAAAGTTGAAGTCCGACTGAATTTAGCAAGTTTTTAATTCCCCTTCGACTAATTACACAAAACTTTCTATCCTAATGTCAACATGTTGTCCCGCTTTTCATGATTATTTCGATATGGCATCATATTTTGCGGATTTAGAAGGGCTTTGGAAACACTGTTTTTCTTTGAAAAAATGAGGCTACAAACATTCAAATCTGGGTTTCGTTTTTTATAGTAAAAAAGAGGTTTATCAGAAACGAATTTTTTCTTCCATTTTTTTCCATTTTCCATCAAATTTTATTAGATAGTAAAAATTTGTAAAGCGAACTTTCTCTAGATAATTTGCTTATGGAGCGAGATCGTGAGTGTAAGACAACACGTGTCACGGCTGCTTCTTTCCTATTTTCGTCCAGACAAAAAAAACAGAATGGAATAATCTGCATTTTTTCAGCTTTTTAGACTGAAACGAGGTTAAGTATTCTTGCGAGAGTTGTAACACAATAATAACCCACGCTTCTGGGCCCATATCATCACGAGAAAGATTATTCCTCGACTTTCACCTAAAATTTCGAGACTAAATTTCCACGAAAAAAAAATCTCCTTAAGCAAGGTAACATTTCCGTCTTAAATTTTTGTCTTTGAGAAACCTGATATTTTCCTTGGGCTAGTGAATAATAGAGGTCGAGAATCAGACCGTGGCTGATTCCGTGAAGCAGAGTTGTGTTGTCAGGGATGCACGTGGATGAGGCCAATTTGCATTTCTATCCTCGCATTAATGCATTTCAAATGATGATGCGACATTCTGCAGGAAGGAAACTGCCCGTTTTACCCTGTGTCGCATCTACTTGTGTAACTTCGCAAAGCCCGCCTACACAGGTTTCTCGGTGGCTGTGATACTTTAAGTTGGCGGAATTTGGTCGTTTGAATAATTAGATGGACTCCGACCAAACATGGAAAATTACTGGTAAAAGATTAAGATGTTTATGTAAGTATATGTATGCATCTTCATATGTATGAATGTATCTATATAAGTATGCATCTACATGTGTGTATATCTACATATGTATGTATCTAAATATGTAAGCATCTACATATGTATGTATCTATATATATAAGCATCTACATATGTATGTATCTAAATATGTAAGCATCTTCATATGTATGTATCTAAATATGTAAGCATCTTCATATGTATGTATCTATACATGTAAGCATCTACATATGTATGTATCTATATATATAAGCATCTACATATGTATGTATCTAAATATATAAGCATCTACATATGTATGTATCTAAATATGTAAGCATCTTCATATGTATGTATCTAAATATGTAAGCATCTTCATATGTATGTATCTATACATGTAAGCATCTACATATGTATGTATTTGTAAATATGTACATATTAATATTTAGCATAGTTTGTAACTTATTTAATTGATATTTTCATACATCTATAATCAACTTTGGAACTACAGAGGTTACGGGTTAGTTACAATATAGTTTTATTGTGACAAAATTGCAAAATAGCATTTTACAACAAACGTACATAAAATAGAGCACAGAAAAATGTAACAGAACTCACAAGCCGACAAACCTGGTTTAATACAAATGACTGTAGAATGGGTAATTCAAACTGTCCGGCAATAACTCTTAAATATCAAGCAATTCTTCGAAATCCGACAACTCCTCTTCATCGGAAGAATCATCTACCAATTGGACGATATCCTCCACTAAAGCACGTTGAGAAGGACCAGGTTGAGACGACGAGGGAACTTGTTGGATTGGAGTGGCGTCAATGTACCCTTGTAAGTCTAACTGTCTTCTGTGAGCGGGCGGGACAAATCGATCCAGAGCCAAGTAGCGAAGCCACGAAGTACCTGAAGCCACGTTATGCTAAAGCTGATGATAAACAAGTTTGAAAGTAAGGTGAATTAATTACCGCAGCTACATGTCCACAGCACCCAAGCGTTCTTGCTCCATTTTTGCAGAGACAGTACCACCCTACTATTGCTTCTGGTCTACGTCCCCATGGGATGAACTTAATCCACAAGGTGTGGTGACCACGCTTGCAGAACCGAGATTGCAACTTCGCTCGTACTAAATCCGCCATTTCCTCATGGAAGAAAAACTCATACCCAGATCCGGATGGTGCATGTTGATTGTTGTACAACGCTCCAATCTTTATTTGATAAGGGCCCAGAGTAATATTTTTTAATTCTTCCATTGACAGTTGAGGGAACTCGAGTACACAATCCTCATCCGCATTCTTCCTCTGTAGATTCTTCTCTTCTACTAACATCTGGACAGAATTTTCTGTTTCAAGTCGGGAACTGACAAGTTCAACTAGTTGCTCGTTCCAATCGCTTTCAGTAAAAAGTGGAGGAGAAAAGGCGTTAAGAATTGAAACAGCAACTTTAAGAAATCCCGGTAGCTTTGGAAAGTAACTGGCTGCAATTGTGTTATCAAAGAACCTGAATTTATTCTTCAGTCTTTCGTTTGCAGATTCGACTACCCATCGGAGCATAGTTACAAGCCTCGAACGATTAGCTTCAGACGTCGTAAATTGTGATTGATTTTTCTTAAGCAATTCGGGCATATACACAGACAATCCTTGGCTTTCTGCCTCTTCAATCGCGTCCCGAAAACCTCGATCTAAGATTAGGACATCTCCATCTTCTAGTATTACCATGATGGACTCATGTTCTTCCAACATTTTTTTCAATATGTTCGCATCATTGTTTCCACAATCTCCATAAAAGAGGCCTGTAGCTTCAACTATGTATCCGTCTGGACAAACAACCATCATGGGCTTGAAAAGATTTCTCTTCTTGTGACTTGAGTAGCTTCTACGTTGCAACTTGAAGTCTGATGCCTTCTGAGTGAAGATATAGGTACCGTCGAGAATAAGGATCAAGGATTCGGGCGGTACTCCTAGTATTTCTGTGTAGAATCTTCTCATATGCTTCTCATGGAGGTCTTCTCTAGTAATGTGGTTGTAGCCGCTGTGAAGTGGAACGAAGGTGGACATAAGGGCGTCAAGGACAGCTGAGATGCTTTCGGATACAGTGGACTGATTCTTAATACCAAACAAGAATGCAAGAACTCTCTGAGAAATGTTGAGTCGAAGTTTCATGAGAAACATGGCCAATGCACTACGAATAGTACGATTTGGACTATTCCTTAAGGGACCTTCGCAATGTTTGAGTAGGATTTCAAAACTGGCCATCGATACTCCTAGCAACATCTCGTAATCCGAGTTGGTGAATGACGAATTTTTGGAGAAATCAATGGGTAATTTTTTCTCTGTTGCAAGTTTTCTTAAGGTAGTCAACCATTTTGCCACTTGCTTTCCTGTAAGCGTCGAATAAGGCTTTTCAACTTCAATTGCATCCATGTCCTCCGGTTTCAATATTTCATCCTCCAGATGGTCTTTGCAGCATCTATTATTTTCAGGAATTAGGATTCCTCGTCTTAAGAAGACTTCAATAATGGCTCGGCGTTTGATACGAGTCCGAACTGATGTCTTGCAAATAAGGCACCGATTCTCGTTTGACGAAGCTGATGGAATACCCGGCATCTCTACAACTGGGTCGTGCTGTTGGATTTGGCGCACATCTTGCTCAAAAGAATCTTCCGGGACCTGTGCATCGATGACCATAGCTTGACTTAACTCTTCATCATGTGGCACCTCATGATCACTACTGGTGTTAGGCATGTCTTCATCGTTCTGGTCTTGTATCCCCTCCTCCACATGATGTCTTGATTGAAAATTACGAGATCGGGAAGTCTCCACTTGGTTCAGACGTACTTGCAGGTCTACATTTAATCCTCGTCTCAATCTGCCCCTGATGAAACCATGACAACCACTGCAGATGAGATGATCGAGTCTTGCAGTTTTTCCGACTTTTAGCATGGCATTTGGTAGTACTGTCCACATTTGTTGCTCTGATATTGGGCGCATGCTTCTCCGGACGCTTGTGTGTGAGTCACAAACTGCACATGTAAACTTCACCATGCTGGTTGATCAATGAACTGGACACCTGTTCAATTATCAATTAATAAACCAACATGCGTTAAATAATGTAGTATTATTTTTTATTTTTAGCATTTGAAATAGTTTTGGTAGAAAATGTATTGCATTTCATCATAGTCATACATGAACTCATATTTAACAGCATTATAAGAACATTAGCATAATTACCTCAAACTATCACTGCACCCCTTCACACAGTCCGAAGTCCACCGGCACCACGACTTTCTCCGTTTATGTCTGCGAGACAAACAGAGAAATGTAATTGTTGTACTCAATACAACATCAAAAAGTAGCCAGCTCCTCCCCACCTACTCCTCAGATCATGACAATGCACAGAAAGGGAGAAAGCTGGCAGAAAAAAACTGTGCATTGCGGCTTACTTTCACGTCAATAAAGGGATTTCTCCCCTGATTGACGTTCACTTCGGCCCAGAGTAGGATTTTTCCTTCTCGCAACCCACCAAAATATCAAAACCACCACTCACCGTATTTAAAAATGATAAAATCGGCTCCAGGTCCAGGTTAGAATGATGAAAACTGCTCCAAATCCAGGTAAATATGACGAAATCCACGATCAGATAAGGTAGCAAAAGTGAACTCCAAGGGATGGGAATTATTTTTATTTATTTTCACTTTTTGGTCCCTCATTTTGGTAGTTTTAATTAAAATGATGATGGGTTGCATGATTTTTTGCGTATTTATTCATGTTTCACCCGAACCAGGCATGCTCTTTCACCAAACTTTGCTAAAACATGCTTACTTATATAATAAGTAAGTGTGCAAAGTTTGAAGAAAATCGTTGGAGGTCTTCACCGATTTTATCCTAGCATGATTTTGGTACATGCATTTCTCCCATTTAAATGCATGTAAAAAACCCCCACCACTAAAATAATTAATACGGGAGTTCAAGGCATGCCTCTTTCATGAAATTCACGGGGATGACACTTCGATACTTGTATCACAACATATAAAAAATTGAGCAAAATCGTTGGAGGTCTTCATTGTTTTTATGACCCACCCAGAAGAGGGGCAACCCTGATTTACCTCTTTGTGTGAATATGTTTCGTGGTTTTTTAAAGATTTAAATTTTGCCTACCTGACGAAGGGGGTTTCCTTGAAGGCGAGTGAGGGGACGGCGGGCAAGTAGTTATCGCTCAGGTCGACTTCCACCAGGTTTATCAGCTCGGAAAACGCACCCGCATCAATTTGTGTGAGGCGAGAGTTTGAAACGTGAATTTTCTGCAGATTGAGCAATCCCGCGCGCGCGAAGGCGTGTTTGGGAAGGACGCCCAACTTATTGCCGGATATGTCCAGCACTTGCGTCTCGGGGTCAATCCCGTCCGGCAACGTGTCCAAACCTTGGTTGCGACAGGATACCTGCGAGCAAAAATATATTTTTATAGAAAAATTGGTAGCACAAGCACATAAAGTTTCAAATAAGTTTTGAAAATTATTGGGCAATTCGTTTCATTTATGCGAATTGGTTACCGAGTAATTCAAGTAGAACTGGTAAAGTTCTACTTATTTTTTAAACCTCCGATAAAATTTTTTTTTAAAAGTGATAAAATGTTTAGATTTAGATGAATGTAAATATTGCAATATAATTAATTACAGCAAGCGATTAATCGAGCATAGTCATCGGAAACCCTATTTACTAGATTATTTTAATCATCAACAACCAAATTATGACATCCCAATTACAAAATAATTTCTCACTTAATTTTCCCAATCTTAGAAATGGCCTCCCACTTGTACCACAATCCTTGTGCCACATTTTACCGTTAAGAAATATGTGCCACGTAACGTAATGAACCCGAGTCTTTACACGATTGTCCAATTTTGCGAGGATTACTTACAACCCGCAACTTTCTCCGTCACCACGACAACTTTCTCTCCAAGGAAAGATAAAGATTGTCCATATGACATCCCGTTATTTCGTCCGACAACCAACTTTCTCCAGACCACGACGACCCTGTTACACGAGAGTTCGTTACGTAGGTGGTCGTGGTAATGGACAGGACACAAGTCCAGTTGCGTAAGACCGACCATAAATAATACCCGCCTGGAACCCGTGTCAGGTGAAGGAGTGGATTTGCGGTGGCCTAAAAAGCTCCCGGAACAATATTTGTACGAAAGAAGGAGATAAAAAATATTGTCCAGACACGATGAGGCCAAATTGACCAACTTTCTCCCATTAATTTTGTATCGTTTACGTTTACACGTGGAGTTTCCGAATGTGAGAGTCATGTTACATTTATAATGACACAAGTTTCCGTATAAATTGTTGGGAATATTGAAATTTGAAATTTTGTGGACCAAACGATATTGAAATTAAGGAATAATTTTGACACTCTAAATAATGTGGGGGCAATCTGATGCTCAATACTTGTACGGTAACATCCGACTAGTTTGGCACGAAATAAATGAGTTAGGTACGCTTCCTGTCAAACAAACTGTTACAAAAGTTGGAGAAGTCGCGTTGGTAATGATTACTTTGCTACCGAATTTGGACAGGAAGGTGCGGCATACTTTCTGTGGATTCGCGAATTAAACGAGAATGCGAATTGGGTGTCCGTGCCAATCAATACTTTGAGCACTGATGGAAACATAGATTATCGAAGTTCTGAGAAAAAGGAAAGTTTCGATCTGTGAGATAATCCCGTCTTCCATTTCGGAGAAAGTTGATTGGTTGCCAGTTTCCTCTGCAAGTGAAAACCGAGACAAAAAGAAAGCCGACGACGCTACGAGATAACGTTGTCGAGATGAAGATTCTATTATTATTTTTTGCACGCTAAATAAGATGCGGACCAAAGTTGAGTACTTCTCTTGAATTGGGAAGGATTTGCTACCGTGGGGTAAAAATAATTGGGTATAAAATTCCAATTACTCGATCTAAGGTGAAAAATCGATCCCATAGTTGTATCGAATTTGAATATAAATATACTAAACAGTATAGAGTTTATTACCAGATTTGTAAATCAGTGCATATTTGGTTACTGAATTAGTTACTTAATTGTCCGCCAAATTCAATTTTGTCACAGAATGAAGAACGAAGAGATATTAATTCTAACTGGTAGAATCATAAGTATGTTTTTGACTTTGGTAATAAATCGTTACCAAAGTGGTGGTGCCAACACCCTCTGAAAATTGCGTTACCGCATTATTGAGAGTGTGGTTGTATGTATCGTGTGTGATCAAAAGTGGGAGAGAGAACAATAATAACGTGGGAGAAAGCCTGAGTAGAAAAAGGGACCGAATCTACTTTGTCCCGGAGCCACTTATTTTTTCAGATTGTTCTTTTCTCAACTTTTTCAAGTTAGATGAGCCGACCAGATTTCGCTCAGATCCTAAATTCTCATTATTTTGAAAGAAAATAAAACCCGGTGAAATTGGGTGAGAGAAAAACGCAATCGATAAAGAAAGTTTGAAAAGAAAAGGGACAAATTATAATTTTTTGGTTTGTCGTGAACATCAAATTCTTTAGAAATCGGGAAATCTTAAGCGGATTACGTTTATTTGGCGGGTAATGGAATAAACCGTAATTTGTTGGTTGGGATAGTTTGAAAACTTCTTAAAAGTTGGTATCATCAGATCGGTATCGGTTATGTGTAACGTGTTCGTTATTAAGGAAAGTGAAAAATAAAGCACTTTTTATTTGGGAAATAATTTGGTCGCACTTTCCCCATTCATAATTTTGCACTTTCCTGTGACACATTTTTCAACCAGAAACGGACACATTTACACTGTAAATGTGTCCGTACTGTAAATTTTACAGTGAACGTTTCAAATTAAGATTTTAAATAGAATTAACATTTTTAGGTGACTAATTCACCTCAAAATATTTTAGCTACAAATTAGTTGCGTATAGCGAGAAAATTGAAAAATGATTTTTAACCATTTATAACTACTATCAAAAAAATTATTTCTTAACCTGTAATTTTTATTTTCGTAATTAAACAAGCCAAAATATTTATTTAGGGTGGTTAACTAAAGTTTGGAATCTATGTGATCGATTTGTGTGTATTTTTTTCATCCATTTAATTTAATTTGAATTCGTGGCACTTGGTAACTTTCTTTTTTTTTAATTCAAAAGTAAATGACAGTCAGCAATTTAATATTTGTTTCTACAAGTGACAAGGAAGTATGCTATACAAAATCTATTTCGATTAATTTTAGGTTAGGAAAAATGTACAAAATTGAATTTTGGCGTTAACCTACAGCTAACAATGATGCTTCTTCGAACGAATTTACATATATTGTCAAAATTAATTGAATATTTTGACTTTTTACGAACCTTTATCTTAAAAAAAACAAGAAATGTGAATAATTTGAGCATGTATTCCCGAATTATTTAGAGTTTCGTATTGAACAAGGAGAAGGATAAAAGTCGTAATAAAACCCGCATTTGGAGAGAAAGTGTCTAGAAAAAAGGGAGGAAGCAGTGATGAAAGTATGTTTTGCGTGTCCGCGGAATGGGACTCCCTTCGGTCTCGGGGAGAGAAAGTCGGATGAGTTTTACTTTAACGAGAGAGAAAGTAAGACGAGGTAGCAATAAAGTTTCCCAGTGAAAGTTATGGGCAATAGATCAGACGATGACAGGATTTAAGACGGGCATAAATCCCCCCAAAATAGTTGTAAGGAAAAATTAAGCTTTCTCCTCCTGCTTTCTCTATACATTTCAGATCCCACTAAATCTACACAACTTTTCTCCACTGCTCTGGCCTCGTCGGAAAAAAATTGGATGAATATTTACCTCGCAATTTCTTTATAAATTCTAAACTTTGTATTCACGTCAACTTTTGCACTTTTTGGAATTTGGAAAAATTATTGTTATTTAACTTTTCACAATTAAGAGTAATTTGTTTGGTTGACATTTTGTGAAATTTTGTAAAAGATTTGGGAACGCTGCAAGTGAAAGTTATGAGCAATAGATTAGACGATGACATAGTTTAAGTTGAACTTTCTCCAGTGTGGGAGGAGGATCATGCTTTGGTCTGATAATAAGTATATGGGAAAAATTTCAGACATTTATGTAACCCGGTTTTGTTAACTAAATTTTAAGCTTGGTATTGACGCTAACTTTTGTACGTACCAAATTTATTTATGCAAATTCATTTGTAAAAATCCACTTTGACAAAATTAAAGCACGGCCAACATATAAAATTTTGAATTCTGTAGTTATATTCCGTGATTATGATGAAGATTTTGTTGCAAGATTACGTTGCTCCACAAAATTTGCCCTGAATTGCATACTTTTAATGCATTTTTTCCAAGTTTGAAAAATTATGTAGCATATTTGTAGAACATTTTAATTTTCTTTGAAAAATTTTATGATTTGTGTCACTTCAAATTAAACCGTTTCACATTAACATGTTATATATTTTTATTGGTAAAAAATTAAGAAACGTATACGTAATTAACACGTCTGTACGTCTAGATTTTCACGTGCAAATTTTACAGTTTGGAATCAAGTGGCCATTTTTTATGCAGACCATCTCCATCCCCGGTTTCGTCTCTGACATCGTGACGGATGCCTTTCCCTGATGGAGATTAAAGAAAAAAGTGGTGTAAAAAAGGGGGAGATTGATGTCCTGTACGTGGTAAAACAAGGTGTAATCTGGTAACTTATAGACCCGCGACGCGCTCTCCTCGACAACTTTCTTAATTCTAATTCATCGCATTTCTCGGAGGAGAAAGTGGTAAAGATTTGCCTACTCGGGCATTTTGGAGATATACTCATGTGCCCGCACCGAATCGGGAGTATGGCACGTTAGTGTCGCAACCTGCACTAAATGGATTCATTCATTATCCTTTAACTGGCTCAATCTTTGTCGCCCGAGATAAATCTTCATGTTCAGGTGAGAGCACTATCAAAATGGGATTGTCCATTAATTACGTCAGCGATGAACGGGGATTTTTGAAGACACAGAAAGTGGGTGTCCTGCTTGTGGTTGGGACGACCGACTTTCTCTTGTGAATGCAATTAATGGACAGTCCTTTTTAATGAAAATCCTTTCGTTGATGGAGGCCCAACTCTAAATAAATTGAGGGCAGAATTGTTACCCGGGATAACTACTTTATCTTTGTGAATAGTGTGACGTTCAAATTTTATACCCACCAGAGTGAAATTCTTGTACGTACGTATAATTGTAGAGCAGTTTGGCACCGGTGTAAAAAAAATATGGTAAAAATCGTGCGAAATACTAAAGGTTTGTATTTACCAAAATTATCTAGGAGTGAAACAAGTATAAACTCACGTTTAGCATGTGATGGTTTTATTGCTTGAATTTTACATAAGTATAATCCAAACCCAGGGTTTCCTTTCGATGAAAAATCGTTACTTAAAGTTATGCAACTCTATGAAATTTTTATAAACCAATTGACCGCAACAATTACACTGATCTGTGTAAGGTTAGAATATTATTTAGCTGGATTTGCAATCTGCTTTTGCTTATGCCGGTTAAATTTCAAATGTTGAATTATCGTTATGAATTTGTGAAGAATTTTACGGATCTTTGTAAAAAGATCTGAGTGAATTGTCTAATTTGATTTAGAACAATTTGTCTCCCAGTTTCATTGTCTGCCTAGTCAAAAACTACGGCTGAAATTCTGTCAAATTTAATTACCACATTCCCCCCGTGTAAATACATAAGTGTACTTGAAGTTCTTCAACTTTCTGTCCTTTTGAATTCCGCGCCACCACTCGTGACTAATTAATCAACAATGCTTACTTTCCAAGGAGCACTACAATGCGGACTGAAGTGGAAGTAATTTGATTGTTTCCACCTGAATGGGTGACAAAGGGGCTGGAATTTTTGGAGAAAGTTAGTCCCGAGTTTGTTGCCCTTTTCCAGAGTTAACTTTCACCCGGAGAAAGCAGTCCTCTCGAGAACAGGAAAATACTCTTCCGAGCATCTGAGCATTATTCTAATCGAATTAAGAACGATCCAGTCGGAGCAACAAACTCCGCATCGTGACTCTTTGAATGCAAATGCCTCCAAGAACTCAAAATCCCAAGAATGGAGCTATAAAAAATTTAGCTGGAGAGGATCCAAGCTTTTATGGAATTTTGCAGTTTTACCGGTTTGGTAACAATTTAAAGATGAGTTCGCGAAATTCGAATTCGTTACAAGTTCAGTAAAATCTATCTGCTCATGAAATTGAAGAATGTTGGAAATTTGAATTTTAGAAACCATAATTGTCTCAAACTATGTACTTAATTTGTAGTATAATTTTAAAAATTTCAGCCTTAATCTTTTCACGTAGCCAAGTTGCACTTGTAAATCTGGTAAATAGTAGTATGAGATCGAGTTAGCAGACTTATTACTATTCGGAATGAAACTGGTTTTGAATTTGCGAAGGTTGACGTGAATCTGCCCATAACACTGCAGTTGATTAAATATTAACAATTACACCCCAACCTCGCCCAAGTTTTGTAACAAAACAAAACATTGAATAGAATTCCAGCAGATTTGATTTGCTAGCTCAATAATTGACGTCAAAACTAATTGTATTCTCCAAATTATGGGACATGTGCTGCATTGTGGATCTGCATCTCATCAAATATACAAATTTTCTGTCATGTGGATGAATCCTGCTGGATGCGTGGCCAATTATGCAACATTGGTATTTAAGCCGTCCACAATTTCATAATTTTCACATTATCATTCCATCTTCTCTGCAAGAACTAAACGTGAAATTGTAAGAAAAAATTGGAATCATGTCCAAGTTTTTGGTCGTTTTGGGTCTGGTCGCTCTTTTGGGACAAGCCAGTTTCGCCGCTTTGTTCTCAAAGCCCGAAGCCTTGGAAGATATCGAGTGGACGAAGGCCATCAACGCCAAACTTTGTGAGGCTGGAACCCATCCCGATTCCGTCGCGAAGGATTTCTACGCCTGCTACGATGAAAAAATTGTTCCGGTAAGTAATAAGGTCCACAAATTACTGGGTTATAAAGATCTGAGTGAGTTTCTACATACATGAAACCAGTGTAGAAATTTCCCAAGTATTCCCTAAAAATTGTTCTGATTTGTAACGTGAAAACAGGGCGCCGAGGCCTTCATCAAATGTCAAAAGGACGTTTACAAAGTGCAGATGGACAGTGAGAAGAATGTCGACACAGTTTGCAACGCAGGTCCCCTCGCATTCCCACTGGTATGACTTTACGATTTCCAGTAACTACAGAAGTTTTGGAAATACTGACGAGTTTTTCATAAATTTTGATAGTACGCTGGCTGTCTGGTCACTAACCTGCTAGCTGATGGCAAATTGCCATCCACGTCCATGCACAAGCTGAACGTACGTGTAACTCATGGCAGGAACTTAAACTTATTTATAGCGATGGTATTAATTTCGTAATTATTATTTCTTGGGCAGGAATGTCAAGGGAAGGTCATGGGAGTTTCTGCACCACAATAAATACGTATCAAGGTTGAACAGATATGAAATTGTGAATAAATCCGCCTCATTTTACAGCATTACTGAAATCAATGGTTTTAACCGAAATATTAATTATTCCTCCCTCGTCACACACACTCCGCTCGAGTACATACACCACTCGACGCACTCTCTTCGCTTTCACACACTTGAAAATTCGGGAACAAAATTATGACGATAAAATTGTTCCTTCTGAATATTCCTTGAAATTTATTATGCAGTTTCTCCCTGATTCTTGTTAAAGGTTAAACAGTGAAAGTTCCCGTATATCTTTCATAGCTTTTTGTGTGTGGATTTTTCATATTTACATGCAGAAATTTATAACCAGGCTGGTAATATTTCTCAAGAGTGGATTTATAATTGCATTTAATCTTATCATTTAGAGTGTGCTCACTAATTGTTTACGCTTTAAGTGGAGTAATCATTCACAATCAAGCTCAACTCTCGAGTTCAATTTAGTTACTGGCCGAATATTGCTTTTCCCTTCTCTCGAACAACTTAATTAATAAAAGGAATCTACAATATTTCGAAAATGCAATCAACCTCGATAAATTCCCCCGCGAAATTAAATATGATTCCGACAAAGGAACCAACTCTTCCCCTCGAGTGGGACTTCACTCCTCTGAATTTCCATTTCAATTCAATCAGGCTAAAATGGAGGGAAAATGTGTAATTAATTACTTACCGTCTGCTTGCCACCCTTCCATTTGCAAATGCAAACAAGGGGACATGCCTCCCCTGGGGGGATGAGGACGAACAGGACTAAAACCAGCGAAATAATGGTGGGAAGATGCATTTTGGAAAATTAATTGGATTTCTCCCAGGACACGGTTTTTTTTGCGTGGGAGAACTTTCACTTTAATTAATCACGCAGTTTGGCGACGAATTTATCTCGGTTTGCGGGGCATTGCGCGATTCTGAAGTTTCGAAAGGTGTAGGACACGATTTTTTGAAGTTTGTTAGCACTTTTTTTGGGGGCATTTTGAAACTCCTGGGTCTAAAATTAATTGGAATTCTCGAAGGAAATGAACTTGAATTTTTTTGTCCATGAAAACTTTCACTTTTTACGTAATTTATTAATTAATCCCGACAGGACACGCACTTTGCGCCGAATTTATCTTATTTTGTCGGGCATTCCGCAATTCCCGGGGCGCTAATTAGTTTAGTTTAGGGGGTGATTCGTGATTTCGTAGTGGTTTGGTATCATGTTGCACGATTATTGTTAGTTTGACCACGAGTGAGGATATTGAATTAATTGGTTTCTTTTCTCCTTTCTCTGGTCTTTCTGCGGTGAGGGGGAAAGTTAACGAATGTAATTAGTGATGATACGGAGACGAAGGTGGTGGTTTCGTGGCATCCGAGAGATGAGACTTTGTGGGGATGAGTTTCTAGAAATTTGGGATTTTTGGTCGAGTCGATGGCAGTGGCAGATATCAGAATTTGGAGGGAAGGTAAACTCTGAAATTGAAATAATAATTATCGGATTAATAATTAGTTTAATTACTAAAATACCAATACGGCTGCATTATCTGTGTTATGCTATGATGCAATATATATTTTCGCAATATTTTATATCGGTGTCTAAATCAAACAGTCTGAGGGGAATTTTGGTTTGATTTTTTATATATTCACGTCATATATTTATAAAATTGGTAAAAGTTATCAGAATACTTTTGAAAACTTTACAATAATGTGTGGACTATTTTTATGGACTTTTGCAAGATACCAATTGGTTTCTAATAATGTTTACTTTTCCATGTTTTTAAGCCGGCGTGAAAATCAATCAGTTTTTGTGTTTTGTGTGTGTTTTTGTGTTCAAAAATATGTATGATTTGTCAGTGAAAATTTATTCAAATTTTGTAAAAACTTAGTAACTTTAAAAACACGGGGTTAAGAAGCTTTGAGCAGTATGCAAAATTCCTTTTCGTGTCGACATAGTTTGTAAGCTTTGCAATGCTGATTTTTTTCTACACTCAAAACAAAACGGTGTCAATATATGACTTAGCCGCCTTGGTTACAATTGTAATTCCGAGTAGTAATGAATTTTTTCCGTCCGGTCATAACATTATAACTACCGGTATCAAAATCATCATAACTCGGATTCAACATTGTAACCAAGGCGGTTAAGTCATATATTGACACCGGCGGTGTTGATTCGACAAATTTTTATTTTGAGTGTACAAAATTTCAAAGACTTTATAATTAGTCTTTAGATTCTAACTATTTGCCTAATTATATAAACCGTAATAAAGTTTAATTTGTACACGGTGGAAAAATTTGTTAAATAATGCATAAAATGAAAATTCGTGTTTTTTTCTTAGTGAGGCAAATACCTAACAACGAAAAAAATTTACTAAGTATGCATTTACCCCACCCCAAAAAAGTGAAATAATTCTATATCTCACTAGGGATACCCTTTCTATGATAGTTGAAAAATGAGTTCTAATTTAACTTTTTGCATGCACCATGATATGTTTTGATTGCAAAGTGCAAATATTTTTCTGCAAAACCAATTTGCCAATTTTTAATAGCCTTCAAAGTTGGCGAAAGTGGGGGTGGACTAGGCGGAGTGGGAGCGTGTGGAGATGGGGGCGGTCGTGCCCCCCACTATACCCTAACCACCTGTGACGGTCACTATCATCTGTATGACGCAAGGAAATCCATCAGTAACTTATGTTTGATAAATTTAGTAACTTATGTTTACTTGAAATTTAATTAATTGTAAGAAAACTTAGTTAAGTGAATGAAAAAAATGATGCATGCTGATGGCATTGTGCGAAGTGGTAAGATCAGTTTGCCCAGTTTGCGCACCAAATAAATACTTAAATCCTGTTGTTATTTTAGTCATCAGCTCTTTCTCTTTTGTTAAAACTTCTCTGAAAATTGTTCAATTAAGTAATCATATTAGCAATTACCACTCTAAATATTGCGAAAATCATTAAAGTGTGCGAATTATTACTAGAATTAGTAAAACTAAAATATGACACGGCTGGAGTACCTATAATTGACAGTGGTTTAAATCTAAACGACTTAGCAAGTGAAGGACTGATTTTAATCGAAAATTTACTTTTTAAATTAAATTTTTCAACCAGTACATTTGAAACGCTCGATGCATTAGAAATTACCAGTGACGATGAAATTGACATTTACGGTGACAGTGCTGCTCAAACCGACACAACTTCCGAAGAATCGTCATCGCAGGAATGGGAGATTGAAAGTATCGAACGCAATAATTATAATCTCGAGGAAATGATAAAGATGGGGGCACGTACGCCCCCAGCTCCACACGCTCCCACTCCGTCTAGTCCACCCCCACTTTCGCCAACTTTGAAGGCTATTAAAAAATTGGCAAATTGGTTTTGCAGAAAAATGTTTCACTTTGCAATCAAAACATAGGATGGTGCATGCAAAAAGTTAAATTAGAACTCATTTTTCAACTATCATAGAAAAGGTATCCCTAGTCAGTCATTTCTGAACCGATTTTGATGAAATTTTGCACAGATCATTGTTAGGGAACCTGAAAACGATTTCTGATCCGACTAAGAGAAATCTTGACTTTTACTCAAGTTATGGGCAAAAAGGAACAAAAATTTGCACTCGGAGTCACATTTTTATCCACCGTTCAATTTTGGAGCATCACAGTATTCTAAATTATTGGAAAAAGTTACGCTGATTCCTTCGGATCATTTTAAAACCAAGTTGACCGAAATCGGTTAAGAAATCACGACGCTATTCAATTTTGAAAACTAAAAATTTAGTAAAATTATTCTGGATGCAAATATAATGTCGTTGACAACCCAAGTTACAAGTTACAAGTTATAAATAAACAAGGTCCCAAAAAATGGGAAAACTTAGTGAAGCAGTGCAATCTCAACTAAGAAATAAAATTAGATTGCAGAATTTTTGCATCACCGCTCTCAATATCATTTTCACTGGATGCACTGTAAATTTTGCTTTGCAGAAGCATGAATTCTCCAATCTTAATTGAGAATTTAATGAGTTTTTACTAGTCAAAGAGAAGTGTGCTAAATAAACTGAGATCATATATAATGGACCATTATATTTTAGAAACACATAAATACCATTATTAATGGGATATATTTCTGAGAGCAGTGATTCAAAAATTATGCAATCTAATTTTATTTCTTAGTTGAGATTGCACTGCCCCACTAAGTTTTCCCATTTTTTGGGACCTTGTTTATAAACAATTGGATTAATTACGTTTTTCATTTTCCTGAATTATACAATGTTTGTAAGTTATTTTTCAAACTTTTCCCAAGTTATTCAAGTTCTAACGATAAAAGTGATAAACCTTATGGTTAATTAGGTATTCGATTTTTAAAATATTTTCATACCGGATTTCGATTTACGCAAATATTACGATTCGCATAATGATTTTTTCAAACCGTAAGTCTGCACTCATAATAATTTTGAATTGACACTGGTGAATTCACAACGTTACGATCGTTACAAATAGCCGTGTAAATCTCATTGTTAGTAATCATTTCAAATTTATTGGAAATATGTAAATATACTCAAAATTAATTTGTCTACCACGGAAAAAATTTCGGACTTATTTGCATATTCATGAAACTCTTGGAGTGATTTTTGTTCAGACATTTCTTCTTCAAAGTATGAACCAATGTTCCATTATTAGACTAAAATTTTACAAAATTTGAAAATTACAAAGTTCACAGCTTTTCCTCATCACTCATCGCAATTCAGGATTAATTCCTCTTTTGTCCTTAACGAGCTGGGATTCAATTCAAACTCGGCAGCGTCATAAATTAACCCTTCCCCCGCCCTCCCGAATCCCGGCGGCAAATATGCATGTTCCTATACGTCCCAAGAACCACAAAAGTCCATGATAATTATTGTCATTAAACTCGATGAGAGGAGCGAAGTCGTAATTAAACTGGTGAATGAATGCAGCTACAAAGGACAAAAATGCAATCATCATGATGATCAAGCGGCGAGAGAAAAATGCATCTCATTACAATTTGTGTAATGCCACCGCATTCCACGCTGCTGCAGGCGAGCGAGAGGGCGAGACGAAGTGGGGGGAGTGGCAATTACGAGCACAATTATTTATAAGAAAAAATAATGAGTTACTTTACACCAAGGTTTTACATTGGTGAGCAGAATGATAATTAATTTTTGAGAGAGAGAGGAATTGTTTTTTATGGAATTATGTATTTTCAACCCGGAGAGAGAGATGAGATGAGAGGGGTATTCACGTCAAATTTTAGACCTGGAAAACTTCAGTGACACGTTTTCCTGTGGAATTTGGACATCTTGTTTGACCAGAGGATTAAATAATTTGGTCACTATAAGTAGAATGGAAGTAAATTTAGTTTCGTAATTTGAAAAATATTTAGCTTAGGAAATTTATATGGGTAAAAATTGGCATGACCAGCAATATGCACCTACCTTTTTTATGAATGTTTTAAAAAATTACAAAGTTTTCAAGATTGCAATGAATACAAATTTATGGTATGCATTTACGCGAAGAAATAATACCCTAATTTTCTTTCACAGCAAATTCACGCTAAATTTGAAAGTGCTTGATATCATTTTTTCAATTTTTACAAAAGTTGGGAACTTACAGAATTAAAAGATTTCTGACTTACATTTTTGCCATAACTCTAAAAATTTGCAGAGCTGCAAAGTATAGTGTGAAATAATTGACATTACTTGGAATGCAATTCTTCGTAAGGACACCAACAACAACGTAAATAACATCGTTTACATATTCTCATTTTTAAATAGATAAAATTTTCCTCTAAAAGTCACCCAACATTCCAAAATTCCCTGCCTTTATAAAGTTCCAAAGCATGACGGACTTAAAATTGAATATTTAAATTCTAAATCTTAACTCCAACAAAGTTGCGTTTGAGAGAATCTGCTCATCACGACGACGAGTATTGTTTGCCACGAGATGAGATGAGTTATGCCTCTTTTTGAGGGCGGAATGAACTCTGAAGAATGTGCATCACGGCCTGTAGCGTATTTTGTTAACCTTGCTTCCTTCCCATGTTCCTTACATGGGGAGGAGGACCGGATTCTTATTTTGTCGAGTTAACGCGATAAAGAGAGGAGGAAAGATGATGAAGAGACGAATTTGTCAAGTTATAGACCGCCTGCTCCCCTCTCGAACTAATAATAATAAGCAATTCTCATCTTCATCAAGCAAGACACGGCACGGGGCGGATGAGGATCTTGACGATATTGCGGTCTCGTTCTCTGGAAGGGATCCTGCGGAAAGGATCACGCCAAATTTTTAGGAATTTGGAACCATATTTATATTGCCACGGAGCTAAATGATGCCTTGGCTTTTAGGTTAAAAAATAGAGACACACAAACCTGATAGGTTTTCTGACAAAAAAATTAAATTTAGTAAAATTTGAGGAATTTTGCCCTTATTTTTATAACGAGCAGCAACTGACCACGTGCTTTATGCAGGGTCCCTTTACCTCACGCTGAAACCCACGATTGTTTAGTAGCGAGAGGAAGAATGAATTTGCCACGAAGATGCGGTTTGGCAGAGACGATGCAAGATAACAATGTCACGTAATAAGAGGAATTATTATTATGATAACGATCCCCATTGTCGTCCCGGTTTGGAGTCGAGCATTATTTAGTGATCGTCCCCTTCCGGAAAAAATTATGGCAAGTCCAAATTTGCGCCGGATAAGAAAAAAATCAAGTCTCCGCCCAAAAGTATTCAATAAAATTTATCTAAACATGGATCCTGATTGAAATTCAGAGTGTGATCTTATATTTTCATACGATGTAAACGGTAAATTATTGTTTGGTTACAAATTGTGAGCGCCTGTGCTTAATTTAATTTGTGTTTAAATCAATGGCGAAGATAAATTCGAAGGAGTAAAATTATGCACAATTCACACGCCATTTGGGAATTGAATGAAATTTGTACATATTTAATTTTACATTTAATAGATTAGTGTTGGATAGAAGATCATATTGTGATTGATTAACTAAGGAAAACCTAAGTAATAAAAACCGATAGATTAATTAAACATAGACAAAAAATAAAACATTCAAGCCGAAAAATATTTAAATATCATATGTATCATCGAAATTATGTAATTCTTTGTCTCATATTTTGCTAGTAAACTTTGTAAGCCTTTTTTTATCCAACTTTGCAATCTGTCTCCGCCTGGGAACCTTCAGTACTTACAACTGCACGTTTAGTGCCTCCATAAAGAATTATAATTACCTAACGTTTCTTAACGGGTAACAAAGAATTACCAAATCGGTCTGTCTTTGTATGCAAAACGATAACGGATTTTGTAAGAGTGAATAAATTTCCCAAATTTGTCCCCTTGATGGAGCAATTGCCTCCCGAAATGTGAAACTATTCAATGAAATGGAACGAAGGATTGATCGTGATCTCTTGAAGAGCAAAATGTGAAGGTTTGTTTAAAGTCCTTCCTCATCATCCATTCGAGCTGACTAATCACCTTCCTACAAAGTCTGGTGGATTTGGCGTGGGGAGGAATATTTGTAAAAATCTGCTCATCCAGGCGGATCGAGGAGGAGAAGCTGTAAAAAAAGTGAGGCTGGCTGGGGTTCCCTCTGTCTCATCGTTAACGAGAAATGGTTCTGGTAAAGAGTTCTTCGGGCCCTGAGGTGGATGTGGACGTTGCAAAGGTAATGAAGCGTGGAGGGCGAACGGCTATGCAAACCCGAGGAGGAACAGGGTGTCGTGCGTGGGAACAGTTTTTGAAAATTTCAAAATTTGAGAGAAATGGGGAAAATTAAGAAACCTTGAAAATTACGAAAAACTTAGGGAAACTAGAAAGAAAAGAAGTTTATGAAATAAAAAATTGAGGGTATTTTGAAAAATTATGGAAAGAAGAGATCTTAGAAATTAGAAATTACAAGTCTAGAAAACTAGAAAAGCTAGTAAAACGAAAAATTTAAAGATTTTCAAAATTGAAAATAACCTCCAGAAATTTTGTTTTTTAAAAGAATAAATTTCACTGCCAACTAGTTCCTACTTCCCAATTTCTTACTACCAATATGTAAATTAGATCGGATGAGAAACCCTGTCGGAAAATTGTATGGTACGTTACACGATGTCAAAGGGATGAGGAGAGATGTGAGTTAAAAATGTAAAAATGTTCGTCTTCTCCTGCGTCGAAGCTAGTGAAGCGTGGAGTCGTTCCAGGGCGATACTTAAGACGGAGGAAATGTCAACTTTCTCCATATTCCGACTCTTACGAGGTGGATGAATAGATAACCCCGCGACTAAGTCACACATCACATCTCTCCAGAAAAGTATAAGTGGTGATCATCAAAGGCCAAGTGTCGCATAAATTATCCTCTCCGATTTAAACCCATTCGCGAAATGGGATCGTTCCTTAAAGGGTCGTGCGCTAAGAATTTGCTAATTTCAGCCGATATTCGCCTTGTAACAAGTAACTCACATGGGAACGATGGGATGGCTTGACCTCTAACCCTACCAAAAAGTTGACATATTTTTATGCACGGTCCGAAATGGGCTGCTTCCTAAAGACCATCGAGATGAGATGAGATGAGACGACCGAATAAAAAAAGTTGGACCTTTTAACCTCAACTCATTCCAGAAAAAAATGGCACCCTGAATAATTCGAGAAAAATATTGGCCCAATTCTCGTAATATTATAAACACCAGTATAAAAAATCCAGGGATTTAAACAAGCTGGAAAACTTTCCTGAAAAAAATTTGTAAAATTTTCAGCGAAAGGTTCAGAATTTTGTGCAGCAAACATTGTATAAGTTTGGAATATTTTTTTCTCAAAAAATATAAAACTTTGGTTAAAAAAGAAATATTTGTTACTACCGAAATGTTTTCTTTGTCTTGGGGTAGTCTTGTTTATTACTCGATTTGCGTCACCCGGGTTTTAGTTTTCGGGTGTAGTTTGCATTTTTTTATATTTTCCTTGCTGAATGGGATATTTCAGTCGGTTTAACGAGCACTAAAAGGAAGGATTACTCCGTGGCGGAGGAAATATTTGAAAACGGAGTCGCGTTAAGATTCAAATTCCTACCACTTTTTGCCAGCAGGTTAGTTAACAGTGGAAAAGAGAATGAGACTACACACTAAAAAAAAGTTGGTAATAAATCTTAAGGAACTGGTAAAGAATTTGAATTTCCCGAAATTATTATTACCGTGAAGTATTAAATAGTTTCTAAGAGAGAAAGGAAGATACTGTGGCAACAGCAGACTTTGCAACGGAATGATAATTACAGTCACCATGGTTACCTAATCTCGTTACCAAATGGCCACGTGTCCTCGATAATAATAATTTCGTGGTAAATTATTGAGTGTGTAAGAAACCAACAACTTTCGACTATTCGAATGAATGAATGTCAATTAGTCGGTAAAATTGGTTCGCTTGTTTGAAACATTTATTTTAACTGCTCCCCGACTCTCTCGGAATCTGAATATTTTAACAAGCTGCCAAAATAATGACTAAACTTGCTGCACAATTTCCGTAAGTGTGCCCATCCCAAAAATTAAATCACACGAGAATTCAAGTCACATTTGTTTGCAAGTATCGATTCTCTCTCTCGCACAAACAGTATTCCATCAGCATTATAATTAAGTTTGGAACATAATTTTACATAATTTTACCCACGGAATATGTAAACAAATTATGCGATTTACGTTTACGCATTTAAAAAGCTAAGATAAGAGTGTTGCTCTCTCTGAAATTGTTCGGAACCAATTCCACCCGATTTTTTTGTCAGATCTCTTCTCTTCATTTTAATCTGGCACTCTTAATTAAAAAATTGAAAGGAAATGTTACACAGAGTTACACAGCTTGAAGCGTGAATGATGAATTCCTCAAGTCTTTGTTTCATTAATCGTGGCAATTTACTAGAAACCAAAACTACACGAGTTTCCATTTCACTTTTTTTTTTATTCTATCCCGCATCCACAACTCTCTTTTGTTTCCGGAGAACAAAGCCGTCCATGTTTTTGAAGAGGACACAAGGGACCGTGCGTAAAGCGTGCAATGGATTCTGGGATAACGCACAATATGTAGTTTGGCATGTGAAGGGTGAAGATTTCCTTGTACGTGACCACCCCAAAAATTTGTGGCATCCTTTGTGCAGGGACTGGACGTAAAAAAGTGGGCTAGTGACACCACACGAAACGCAACTACTGGGCCGGACTGCTTGTCATTGTCACTCTTTCACAACATTGTCATTGTCACACCAGCACCACTACCAGCACCACCACTCAATCCAATCCAGTAAAAAAACAAGAGAGTCAACCCTTTCTTGGAATGGAATTCTCCATGGGGTTTAAAAAAGCTATCCATCTCTCTCCATTTCTCGTCACACTCTGAATAATTCCACAAGAAAATGTGTCCACCGGATGGTAACAGCTTTCTTCGGAAATTAAGATTTTCTTGTAAACTTAGTGCATCAAAGAAATTTCTCCTTCTGACGAAAATTATTAGGCAGTTTGGATTGAAGCTTTCTTGAAAAATTACTGTAAATATTTCCGGTAACAATAGCTATACAATTTACCATATCGAACTTTTACCGGTTTAACATATTATTGTTACCATATATTATTTAAAGTGTATAAAGCATCTCCTTAAAAAATGACTTATGTTATGTTCTCCCTCCACAAAAGAATGAAGAACATTTCGCAACACAATTTTCTGCAAACAACTTCCTCTCATAGACAAAAGTAACACTGCTAACAGAAAAATAACGACTTCCATATATAATGTGGGCTCTGTGTAGCATAATAATAACGAGAAGGAGACCACGTAATAATGATTCTTCGAACAAAAATGATCTCCTTGTTACACTTTTACTTCGCCATGGAACGCAAATGGATTCAATTCAATCCTTTTCTGGGCAACAATGCCTCATTCATTTCGTGATCTTATAAATGTAACAATGGACCAAACTCTTTTTTATTTGGGTGGACAATTGAATCAAATTAGAATAAGAAAGACAAGAATTTTCCGAGTGTTGGGGACGCTGCGGGAAGAATGGGATTGGATTTGGAGGTAGGGATGTAGACACATTTGCACGTGTCAATAATATGAACATGTGAAAATCGATACTTTAAATGCTTTACGTTTGGTCCACTGATACGTATGTGGACGTGGATGGAGGAAGAAGGGAGCATTTACCACCAACTGGCGCATCACAATGCGATACAATCGGCATTATTGAATTCTGATGTTCGGATTGAAATTTTAAAAAGAGATGAAACATGAACACCTGCACGATTTGGAGGAGAGAGAGAGAGAAGAACGAACCAGATTCGTTTTCTATTCTGTGGAGGACACTTTAAATAATTCGTCGGTAACAGAGATTCCTGATTTATTTTGTTAGAGTAAATACTTACTTGAGTAAAAAAAACGTGATTACCAAGGTGAATCGTGTTGGCACAAATTCATGGCAAATTTGCGATTCGCGTGAAATAAGCAATACTAAATTGCGACCACTCTGGTACTCTACCAGCTCTGTAAAATCAACACCCTAAGATAATAAGATATTATTACCATATTATTTTCTGATTTTGGTAGTTGGTACGAAGTTATACTGAGGCAGTAGCCGGTTATCATTTTGTAAGGTTACGATGTAGTTATCAAGAACCGTTAGAAATTCTTTGCCACATTATTTAGAGTGGATGCCAGGATAAATAGTGAGATGTAAATAAGTAGTCGTGGAGTGGCGTATGGCATGTAAAACAGATTATCATTAGTGCCATCACTACTGACTGACGCGTCTGCAAATGCATAACTATTTTATTGCTGTGTTTGCCCTGCGTGGTAAGACGAACGGGATTGATTTAGCAGGCTAATTCAAATCCCAGAGAGTCTAACGAGGAGATAAAAACGAGAAATGGAATAGCTTTATTCGAGCCAGCAAATTCCTGATTGTTTTTATCCTGACGAAAAAATTACACGAATTTTTGGATAAAATTATTACAGAAATTTATACAAAATGCAGAAAAGCTCTTGATCTGTGTAACTTTAAAGTAAATTTGCAGAAATGTTGCAAAGTTTAGAAAGTTTAGCCACTTACAAAAAATACGTGAAACTTTAAAACAAACAAAAAATAAATAAATCACAAAATTGGGGAATTAATAGCCAAAAGTTGCATGGAATCGCATCAGGCTAAAATTTATAGTCGACTGGGTGCATGACTGCGCTTCCATTTCCATTCGCCTCCCTTATCTATTTGTTTGTGTCACTTTCTCTCCGTTTCTGACAGGGAGAAAGTTTTCAGAAACTTATTCTCTGTCCTTTTCTGTCTGGTGGAGTGGATCTCATGGATTTTTTGTCATTCCGATTTGTGTGTCATGTCTCATGAGACAAAGAAAGAGTCTGTTGCGAGATAGTGACTCCATTTTCTGCCCGAATGCCACATTTTGGCCAGGGTTCTTTTTAACACGGGTTTTGTTTGCGGTTTTCGGACTTTCTGTGTGGCAAATTGCAAATGTGGCGTTGTTTTGTGTCGTGTTTTTGTGCCATAAGTTGGTGCGTTTTGTGGTTTAAATTTGCGTTAAAGAATCAATTCAAGCAATGGGAGAAAGTAAATATTTTGCTACTTTGCCGTGTTTTTTTAAAATTTTTTGTCGAATTTTATATTCCTAATCTTTGGTCCATTACATTTTTATATTTCTAACTACTTATTGTATGAGATTAATAAATATAGACACGATCTACCCATTTCCACATTTAAAAAGTGCATAACCCAGAAGAAACGGTCTAAATGAAACGAATCACGGAGCTTTTGGCACCCTGATTTTGACTTGAATGTAAATTCGAATTTTATTTTGGACAGGGTTTGAATCCGAGTGTTGTCAAGCAGGAAAATATTCCTGACAGGAAACAACCAGGCCTGTCTGTCATGTCCGAGTGGGAACTAAACTACTCGCGCGACAGGGACGAAAACAAAACCAGGACAGAAAGATGACTCGGCTGAAAGAGAGAGAGAGAAATATGGAAATAAATAAAAATGCAAATCTGCAAATAAAAATGTATGTCGACGAGACGAGAGGGTTCTGTTTTCAACGTTCGTATTCTTGTTGCGGCTTCCGGTGCGGAAAGTTCGTATACCGCATAGCAGCATTAATGTCAAAACTCATAAAATTTATTATTTTTTCAAAATGAATTGCCAAATTTTTAAAATAAAAAAACGCAACTTTCCCTAATGAAGTTTTATTTAGAAGTATTTTCCTTTCCATAAGCGGTGTAAATTTTGTAAATTTTTATGAAATGTATAAATGAATTTGCTGGATTTCTGTAAGTTGACAAAGGATTCTTAAACTTTGCAAACTAGTGAAAGCATTTGTGTGTAAGCGCATGGAGTTTACTACGTTACACACATCCGAGTGACTCAAATTATTGGGTAAGAAAATACGGAAATTGTTGTATGTATGTATGTATCTGACGCCGTGTGTGAAAGTATGGATAATTTGATTATTATTATAAAACAAAATTAAGTAGAAATAGAGGATTGTGTAAGTTTGGCACATTTTTTTAGTAACGGGAAATTTGCAAAGTCCTGGTTATTTAAAAAATACAAATATCTAAATGAATATTTGAACATGTCATATTTTTGGGGTTCAAATGTAAAGGAAAAAATGTGTTTTTTTTAGTTTGGTGAACGTTGCAGACGATAAGATGCGTGGAGACGTGAAATAAATTGGAATTGTGTAAAATTGAGTTTAGTTTAAAGGAGAAACCGATTTGTTGGTATTTATTTGAAGAAAGAGATTTGTTTCCCAGACGAACTCTGTCAAAATAAGGAGCACACTCATCATTCTCAATTTCCGCTCGATATGTTATCTTCCCAATATTTTACGTCCTTAGAGATTGTTTCAAAGTGGGGAGAAAGCAGATAAGAATAAATTATGAGACAATGTTTTGTAACGATTTGAAATGAAAAAGTGAGAATTTCCTACTAGCAGTTTTAACAATTTCTGAGGTCCGTCATTATTATGTAACTCTCAATTTTTCGCGTTTGGCTTTCATTTTTTTCTATTTTTTCCTCATGAATTTCAGAGTTTCGCATTTCACCATAAATCGAAACCCCTGCCAGACGGAGAACTATGCATACTTCTTTAAAATGTCATACTTATCACTCCCCATAAACCTTTAAGCGCATGGTAAACACTTAAATTTGTATTTGAAACAAGAAATGGAACTATTTGAGCCGTGTCAAGATCCAGTTTCTTCACCGGTTTAGCTTAGGATTAGCCAAGTCGTAAAAAATGGGGGAACATTCTTCCGGAATTTTTAAACAAATTGGCTCCACTTCATTTTTCACCCTTTTTTATTGTTTCGTCTGTTGGGTGGCTTGGTTGGTGATTCTGGTTTACATCTCCAGTCATAAAGTAGTGGTTTTTCTCTGGTCGTATCTGCATTCGTGCGTAACCCTGAAAACTGGGCGAGGAGATGTAAACAAGGCTGCGAGCAATTCCGTGATTACGCAACTTAACTCACGCACATTTCTCTGTACTGATGGGATTTTAGGATGCGTGAATAATTCACGGGGAGAATGGGAGTAAGTCATTGCAGTGAGAGGAGATTTGTGTACTTTTCATTCTCCGTAAATACAAATGAGCCAAAGAAATTGTGTTTGCATGCCAACTTGAAATGTTGTAAATACATAATTGCGATAAAATCGATTTGCATAAGTGTGCAAAATTAAACGTTTGAAAAGCGTTAAAGATTTTGTGAGATTGATTTTTATGTCAGAGGTGAAATTAATAATTAATTTATAGCTATAAGACTTGAAGTTGGGCAAATGTGAAGTGGCGAAAAGTTACAAAAGTTGTAAAAGTTGTAAGTAATTGTAAAGTTTCAATGCCAATATGTAATATATTCTTAGTTAAGTTTTGTTGTTTAAAAAATCAGATTTTCGAATTTCAGAAAAATCTGTATGTACAAAACTAATATTGAATTTTTCAGGAAATTAATTACTCTGAATTTTTTAAAACAGATGATTTTAAGAATTACACAATTACCAATGTTCGCGTTAATTTCAGGGATATTCAGGTCCATAAATTTCTTGGGAATGTTTTCTTTAAACTATTTTTAATGCCAAATTTGCAAATAACGTTTGGTAATAAATTCCATTCCCTCCTGAGATGAAATGAATGTCAAGAAATTTATTACTTTTGTTCATCTGGCTCAATGGATGAAGGCTTGTTTATTTAGTTTTCATACCAAATTGCCTCACAAAGTTTATTTTACTCGCTACTTTTTATGATTTGAATGACAGACGAGCAGCAGCAGAAGCAAAAGGAGAAACAGTGAGTGAGATATGTTCCTTAAAAGCTTCACTCTTAATAATCCCGTGATGGTAATTCGGTAACAAATTTACCAGGATTGGTAATAATTTGGTTGATGATATGGTAAGTGTACAATAAATACGATTTCAATATTTCTAGTAATACAATTGGCTCTGATTTTTGAACTTTGCGGTGATAAATAACACCTACTAGTAAATTTTCGAACTTATGAATTGGCGCCAATGGTAAAACCTATTTACCGCGAAATTCAATTTTTGCTCCAATTTTCGCAGTTAAATTGTAAGTAACACACCAGTTAAATTCATAACGCTGGGTGCTACCGAACTTTAAAAAATGCTACCAAATTGTTTAGTGTGTTTGTCTTCATTGTTTTTGAGCTCTATTTTCTTGTTTGGTATTGGTTTCATCTCCTGACGTTGATACACTAGTCGGGCTGAAGAAACAAATAAAAAGCATTCGGCCGTAAAAAACTGTACACTTTACGATGATGGTTTCGGAATGTGGAGAAACGTATGATTTATTATTCACAGTTTCTGAGTGAATGTTCAAATATTTCTGTGAGGAGTAAAAGACTTTTGAAAAATGTGATAAATTTCCTCCACCAATAAACCAACTTTTGACTGCAGGAGATAATTAATCGTACCGTCAATTTGTACAAAAATCCATTACTTTTCTGTCTAGTAAACTTGTTCTGTTACGTAATTTACGATACTGACTAGATTACATGTGTCAGGGTGTGTCAATTGGTAGATTTATGCAGAAAAAAATTAACCAAACTTTTAACAATATTTGCAACAAATCTTACAATCATAAAGATTTTTAAAAGAAACATTGAGCAATTATTTTCATGAAATATTAGTTATCTATTCCAATACGCAATAGATAAATAATATTTGCAATTTGCGAAACAAAAATTTCCCTGAAAATTTACCTATTACATTGTTCACATAGTGTAAAACTACGCTCAACTTACTGATAAGACCCCTCTGATAAATTAAAAAAACGCATACGACATCTCAAAAATTCATATTACAAAAGAACACTTGGTTCGAACCCTGCCAAACTCGTAACACGATAGAGTTGCAATTCCCTCAATTAATCGAATTTTCCTCGAATTTCGCATTTCGTTCCACGCCACGCACCACGCATAACGCGTGTGCTGGATACTTGCAAGAATTTTGACCCGATAGAATTAGAGATATGGTGTACTGTCAAAGTCTTATACTATCTACAAACTAACTAACCTGGCAATCAAGCCCCCTTACATCCTTCCCATTCTGTATGCACGGTCTCCTTCCTCTCCATGATGCGATATGTATTGATTCGCAGAAATATGCATGAAATGAAACTCGTCCGAAAACATGGACAATAAGAATGAATGACAACCGAATAGAGTGATACATTAACCTAGATCCCCTAAAAACCCGCATTTATACATAGACACGACATTATTATTACCCTGTTATTACCTCCACACATTCAACCAGGCGAGGCGAGGCGTAACAACAGGGACGAGTTGCCGCATTATTTAGAGTGTGCTCAACCTTTTCCTATTCTGTGGGGGGTGCCGAATTAAATATTACGACCCACCGCACACCGCACATGCCATCCGCATTTTTACTCATCCACCAATATATTTTATTCAAGTGCTGTTGTGTCGCAGTCCTCCCCCGAATTTCGGAGTTAGTCAGCCACCGATATGTGTCTATAATATTGTTGTTTTTCTACGCGGAGGACATTTTATGGCGGTGACACGCCGTAAAAGCAGGTGGGAATTGCTCAATATCATTTTCAGATCGAGATGATAATGATGTCACGCTAATCAAAAGCACGCGATGATAAGAGCGAGTAAATTGAATTGTGAAGTTGGACAAAAATTGGCGCAAGCAAGAGTCAAATTTCGTCCTAGAAATTGATATCATTAAACGATTTGAGTAGATTAATAGGCGTAATTCAGAGTAATGAGTGTTTACAACATTTTTTAGTGGAACATTAATGCAAAAATGGAGTAGTAAATAAGAGGAGATAGAACTAATGAGTGTTGACATTTGTTTTGTTTTTTTGCAATTTTGCGACTTATTTTTGCATGGGATGATTTAAATTGTATGCGTTACGGCGTAATTGAAGGGTGCGTGAAGTACGATAATACAATTGCATAAGAGAATTATGTACGTTAAAATATTCTGTTTCGAAGGGTATAATTATGGGAATATTTTGCGGGGTGATTGGTGAGACATACACTCAATAATTTGTTACAGATATATATGCCCATATGTAGGTAGATGTTACCGGGATGTGAGGTTAGGAATTTTTGGTAACACTTATTTACCACGAAGTACAAACTGGATAAGAAAGGTTACGGAAGTTATTTTTTACCGGCTGGAGAATAGTTACGACGCTTATTTGGTGAAAATAAAAGGTATGCAAATGTTACAAATTTGCGGTAAGTTTACCAAAAATTACCAAATATCGGTCTAGTAGTAATTTTTTTACCGAGTTATGTTTTAGAGTGGGAGGCAATTTTTTACACCAATAATTTCATACCATTACAAATTATTTATAACCCATTGTCTCAACATTACATAACATTGTGAAAAAGGAAATGACAAGGTGGACAATGTCCGAACTTGTTGATTACTCCGTAATTTTGGATTTTGATATGTTATACTTTTGACGTTGCTATAATTAAATCGCAATTTTGCGAATATTTTATTTGCTTATTTTGGGGGAACAATATCCAATTAAAGTTTAACTTTTGATTGCGTCTTGTTCAAGGGAAATAAATAAATCGATATTTAATTAATTTTGCTACATATGCGAAACTTTAGTTGGAATATTTTTGCCAATTATTTGCAACTATTATTGGACAACGATCTGGTTCATTTTACAATTTAAGTTGATTGGAGTACTTTAATTTTGTAGTTTATTAAAAATTCTGATCTATTTCTGCAAAATTTGCAAAAATGATATAAATGGTACAAAATTAGGTACAGAGACAGTAAAGGACACCAACGATCTACGTAAGTTAAGAATAAATTTTTTTAGCGAATATTACTTTGTAATCTTTGCAAAATATTGGAATTGCATTTAAGCTTTGATGGTATTCATATGGGTTCCAAACATCGAAATAATTTTTTCCACATTTCCAGCGGTAACGGATGTGTGTAATTTTGAATTGTTTCATTTCACTGATGGGTAACTAAAATTTTAGGTTATCAGAATTCTTAAAATAAAATAATATTCGTTTATTCCTTCACCTGTGCAAACTACATATGCAAATATTGAGAAATTTCGTGATGAAATATTTTTTGAAAATTTTGAAGAGTTACACAGTTTACGTGAATATCAAAATTAAATACAAGCAAACTTCGTGCACCACCTAATGCTCAAATCTTTAAATTAAAATTGTATCAAAACATTTGAACTTTCCAGAAATGGCGTTGTAAATTATCAATTCACAATAACACACAAAACTTAATGTTCTCTACATTACTAAAAATTTTAAAATCGAAAACTTCAAAACTAGGTAACGATGAACTTCACGAAGCGATATTTATAATCCGGTAACCTCCTTAAACCTGCAAATGGTTTGTACTTTGTAACAATTCCCTAAAATCTAGGCCATAAAACCCGAAATTTGTAACAATTTCGAAAATAATACGAAAAAATTTTGAGTTCCAAATATCACTCCTACCAGAATAATACTTGAACTTCCAAACTACCTTGTTAAAGGAAGTCATGAGATTGTGAGATTGTTGATGCGTAGAAATTAAAGACGGGCAGGGGTCGTCTCCCATCCTGTCTGTCATACTCATTACGCAACTTCCTGTCGAGCCGGGTTACGTCTCAGCCCAGGATTATTCTCATTCAGTTCACGTAAACTTGGCATTGTGGCCTTAATCCCGATGGGAAATGGAGACAAACAAGTAGCTCAATCGGTTAATTTGTATTTGTATGAAAATGTATGCACCACGTAATGGGGGACAAATGGGGCGGAATTGCAGAAAAATATGTATGTACAAGCGAATCATTATACTTTAAATGGTGGCATAGAAATGTTTTACCGGATGTAGGCATCCCTTGGAATCAATTGGCATACAATTTTTGAGACCATATTAATGGTAACAAAATTAATTTGAGATTTTATGCAATTTCCTCCTGCTAAATTGAATTTTGCCTCCGGTCCAGTATCAAATTCCTACTAAATTCGTTGGAAATTTTGACAGATTTCAGTTTTACCCGACCCGAAATTCCAACCATTCTCACGAAACTGTGCGGAAAATTATTGTGTGTAGCAGATTTTATTTGCCAGCAATTTGATTACCAAGTTGTTTAGAGTAAGTTTTAGTAATTTGTTACTGTCAGTCGTTTTATGGCTCTCAATTCGTAACTATAATCCCATACGAAACACTAATCTGGGCTCGCATCCAAATCCAAAACAAGGCAAGAATTAAGGACGCAGACGAATTTCGAGCGGAAGTTTTAAAGTTTAAAGTGCGTAATGAAGATTAATGAGTGACACGAATCCTGCCAAACAAACCATTTCGTATTCCGTCCTCCTCCTCCTCCTCTGGCCAAACTGCTACTTTAATATGTCTCAACTTCACGTGGCCCGAGACAAGAGGAAATATTCTAAACCGAATAACTCTACATAATAAATGAGATAACAAAACTATCATCAGTCTGCTATTAAGCAACGATTCTCTGATGGACGGTCACTCACTATGCATATTTCTGAGCAGCTCACTGCTATTTTTTAGAGGGGATAATTTTTTGCAATTTTTTGTAGAAAATTTGAATTCTGCGCATGATTAGTATTATCGTTCGGTAGTGTTACAAACAATGCAGGCAATGTAAACCGAAAGTGAAAATTGTATTGACACATTTGGAAATGCATTTATACAGACGGACGGACAGACATACATCATGCCTGTATCATAAGACCCTCCTGCTCGCTGCACGGCATTAAGAATCCTGTTTAGCTTTATGCTTAGAGTTTGCGAACAATGTAAATATTCAGAAATTTGGGTAAAAGTCACGTTTAGGAAACAAGGTCACGTTTCCCTTCTCTCTGGGATGAATGACAATTAAGGTGGATGGAGGTTTTTTGTCCACCTGCTTCGTAGCTTCCTCAGCTCCTTAAAACCTCTCCATGCACGACGAGAGGGCAAACATTTCGTCGAGATTAAGTAAACCTGACGTTGGCAAATTGTTAAAATTTAAACGAGACGGGAGATTTGCCCAGGAGAAAAAAATTGTTTAGTAAACGGATCCTATTGTTGCTTTGTTACTCTTCATGACATTTAAGAAGTCCTGCATAAAGTATGTGATTTGTATGAGGGGCTTCCCATACCGACAAAAAGGATGGTAATGGTGCCGATTTTTCGGTATCAAATTGGTAAAAATAACGACAACTGTTTACCGGAACAAATTTGGTAACGAAAAATCGGCAACATTTCAATGTTTATGTCTTATCGAGACGTGAAGAACAGTAGCTTCGGCGTTTCATTACCGACAGATTTGTGTTGGTCGGGACGATGTCATCGTCCCTGGAGAGAATAATAAAGGTCTCGAGGTGGTGGAAATAATCGAGCCCTGGCAAGTGCACATTTTTCTCATGCGTCTCATTTCTCCAGCCAGGTTGGGAATGCAATCAAAAGATTCCAACCTGTTTTGTGTCGAGTTGTGGTTAAATAAGCATAAAAAGAGATTCATGGAGGGTTCACGACGAGGAGACAAATATTCCCACGCTTGTAAAGTTCTCACTGTTTCAAACGAGCTGGGTTTAATTTTGGTTGGAAGAAAAACTCGAAACGGAGTTTTTCAAGTTTTGAAGTTTTCGAATTTTCATATTTTTAATGTATCTACCAAACGTTTTTGACACCTATCGTTGGTATTAAAATATTACAAATCTACAACAAAAATCTTATTGGCGTTGGATAATGATAAATATGAATTACATCATTTTATTTGCATACCTCAGTTTTTTAAGTTTACAAACTTGTATAAATGTAGTCATTTATTTATTTATTTATGCTATTTAGGAGCTATCAATTAGTTCGTTGAGTAATTATTTTGTAATTATTTATTATACATTGGATGAATAGGACAAACAGCAAATGTATTGAATGAATAGGGCGAACGTCAAATGTATGTAATGAATAGGGCGAATAGCTAAAATATTGGATGAATAGCAACTGCCGCACTACGCATTTGGACACTCACTTGGAACATAGGAATTCCCGTGTCATACAGATTCCTTAGTTAAATAACACATTGTATGAATAGGCAGAGTTAATGTATGGTGAATAGGTAAAAGCCGACCCATGTGTTGACTACGCGAGAATAGTTACTAATGTTAAGATACACTACATGTAATGACTATGTAAGACTTGGTATTTAAAGATTGGTATTGTATTAATCGGGGAGAGTCTTCGGTTGATCTTCAACTGAGGCGGAACTCTTCGGGAGGACTCCAGCTTTAAGAGAATAAATATTTCTTGTTCCTGTTTAAACCACAAATTGGTCACACCGCCCATTATTCCACATACGGGAAACATTGCGGCACACCCACATCTCTTAGAACGGCTCAATTACTCTAGGCTAACCAATTAACAGAAGGACGGCCCATGGAATCCCAGCAGGATTGGTTTGTATAAGAGAATAAGGCATTTTAAGGCATTTATTATTTAGTCAAATAGCGTTAAGGGTATAAGTAGAAATAAGGCTAGGCTGGGACCCTTGCACTTGGCCTGAATTTGCTAACTGAATAAATAATCTGGGCCTAACTCCAGCCACGAAATTAATTGTAGACATAAATATCCACCTGCTACGATACATATGCCCAGCTCATTAATGAATGTTCTAACCATTTTTCTTTGCACTTCACTCGCCTATTTGTTATTGAGTAAAATCCAAAAATTTATAAATGAAAATCAGCTGCAGATACAAAAATTTTAATGCGTTTATAAAAGATTGTAGCACAACTGTACAGTTGACAGTATAATTTGTACTGCATTTTACTGATATTTTATCTGATTACAAATATTCGAGTAAATTGCTAAATTGAAAGCTGTATGGAAATGGATTAATTCCTAATAACGAAATGAATTATGGAAAATCTATAATGACATAAAGATCAGGACGATATCCATCTGCCTGCATTTATCGATCTCATTAACGGTCCGTGCGTAAAGGATGGGAATGATTTTGAGACTTTTGACCCTTGACCCATTGGTTTGACCTATCCATACGTTCGATTCCTTAACCACTCAAAACCTATGACATGCCTTGTGCACGATTTCATATAAGTGTTCCATCGTTTTTTTTACACGCTGATCGTATTTATTTGTACACCTGCTGGAAATATCGACAAAACGCGCATTGTGCGGGACACGTTCGCATCCAATTATTTAGGTTGCTTCGCGGTGTGTGTGGCAGGTCGCCATAAAACGGGACAAGGGTTCAATCCAGCCACAAATGAATCGTGGTTTTCGCCTTTATTGGGCAGAACCACTACAAAATATCACTTGACGATTTAGAGTAATAAATATGTAAGTTACGAATACTGGCTCATGATAAAGTTTGCAACTTTGTGAAGCCGTATACAATTTTGGAAAAGGTTAAGCTAGATTAAATTATTAGGAAGATCCTGTTGTTATTTAGGCATATGGATTTAGATAGAAATAGATTTCATTGTGTTGTCCGGTTAATTTAGTGTATATTGAAAAGTTGATAATTTTATGAGGGTTACATAAGTCGACGTGAATATATAAATCGATCCAGAATAACTTTCTCTTTCACGCTTTGCAGAGTGAGAGCCATTGAGGAGTGAGAGGGCGTAATTCAGAAAACAGTAATTAAAACTGACACTTGAGTTGGTAGGGGAGGGCGTTTGTGTAAATTTTGCGTATTGATCGAATTGGCAAATATTTGCCTATTTCTAACTATTCGATAAATATGGAAGTGCCAGGTACCTTATTTTAGTGGATAAATTTCCGTTATGCACTTTACACTCTTGAATAACATAAGGATTTTCCCACGCACCAATTTCCCATTAACTTTCAAGTAACTATTGATTCATCCTCCTTTTCACAATTCGGGATTTATTAAATCTGTTTCACATTTTGGGTAAAATTCATGAAAAATGAATTTAAGTTGAGGGACAATATTCTCTAAGAATTGAGTTTTTCACTAAACTTGGACACTGATTTTAAGAAAGAGCCTTCAAATTTGCTTTATTTATTTTTGAGTTTCTCAAAATCTACGACGGAATTTCAAACAACGCCTTGGATCAAGGTTTAATTCACATTTTCCGAAATCTTCCGTAGTTTTAAAAAATTTGAATGAAATCCAAGAAATATTTGTCCGATTTTCTCACAATGCACCATCAAATCTTGACATTTCGTCCTTGCGACACTTTTCCATCCAAATACGGAAGAATTTTGTCTCGTGTCTCACTTTAACCCAGTGAAATGTTCAGAAGTTGGAAACAATTGGAGACACCTAATTTCACAATTTTGGATCTTGTGCACATCCAAGAGACACATTCATTACTTTTCATAGTTTGAAATTTCTTAAGTGTTTTAGATTTTGGTAAATATCCGATTTATCCGATTTTCATGAACCAGTCCTCGTTTTGTCTCACTTCATACTTGAACAATATCTAGGATCACGATAAAATCAGAAGGACATCCTTCTATATTTATTAGCACAATTTCACGACTTGCTATTTTTGCACATTTTCTCATGTTTTTTTTAAATATTGAACTTTTACTTGGTTTCCAAATCTTATATAAATATTGCCCAACTGCTGTTATTACACAATAAAGTATGCAAGTTTAGTGTAGCAAAATTGCACAGCTTCAATTATTTAGTAAATTTCATAACTTGTTGTTGCACTTCACCCGAGAAATTTTCAATTAAAACCATTCAATTTTTCATAAAGTCAAATAGCATTAGTTTTCATGCAACTCTGACAAAAATTTCGCTAAATTGTTTACCAATTACATTACACAAGTTTCACCTCAAATTTCAAACGAAACAATTTTTCCATTCATAATTCCCTTCAATTTTCACTTTCCTTTAAATAATCGTGTTGCTTCTCCACTATGTCGAAAATCTTCCCTTTTGCCAATCTCTCTCACTCGAAAGCACTCAAATATTGGAAAAGTGTGTCAAACTTTCTCATAAACTGCACAATTTGTCACTTTCTCTTTTATTTTTCCACAATTTTTGTTCCAAGTGGTTGGAGACGATTGGAAATTTTTACTTTAATCGTGCCCACATTTCACACCTTTATTTACTCACATCTTCAAGACAAGAACGTTCGCTTGATTGAATAAAACCCACACCTGTGCCGTAATCGTCGTAAATATGCATGTACTCATGCAGTCGTATACCGTGTTGTTGGCTTGTGGCTAATTGTTGACCTTGTACGTAATTGTACATGTGTAAAGGTTGTAAGTAAAGAGCGAGATGCACCCTTTTTTCTTAGGTGGACATGGACATACCCAAATAAAAGCAGTATAAGTGCATAGCCCGATTAATAAAGTGGGAAGGGAATGCAGTCGACGGAGCGAAAAGTGCAGCCTCCACCGTCTTCGCAGTCACAGAGAGAACTGAGACTGGGGAGCTTTTTTACGTGTGGAAAACTAGAATGCGAGGTTTACCATTCTCAACTTCCTCTCTCCCCTCTGTTTCGTTGGTCGGAAGGGGAAATGCTGCATGGGCAAATGTTGTATGTAATATCAAAGTTACTTACGTAAGAGACGAGACGAATGTGTGAGCACTTTCAAACTTGGGCTTCGTTTCTTTTCTTGAGTAAGTAAAACGCGTTTCATGATTTTTTTCTCTGATTGTGATCAAATATTTGAAGTTGTGTTTATGAAATGAAATGAAATAAAATTGTAAAGTGGTCTCGTGACGCTGTGTAACTGTGTATTTGGTGAAATATAATTAGAAGATTGTGAAGGATTTTTGGAGGAGATTGCATATTGGATTTTGGATACTTTTTAAAGATAACTTGTTTATAAAATTTTATGAGAATTTGAATATGAAAATGTCAAACCTTTTTTCTGAGTTTCCTCAGAAAATAGGAATGTTTCGTTGCCAATATTTCCAAAGCACGTGCATGATTTATCTGATATGTATTAATTTATGGAAATATGAAGGTAAAGGTTGTGAAAATAAGTTGACACAGTGAGGCTGCGCGTGCAAAGTCTACATTAATAATTATCAAGGAATTTATTTAATTTTATGAAAAATGGTCGTGCAATTATATGTACGAATTTTGACTTGTATATAAATATATCTGTCAAAATTATATTTTGTAAGTTGTTTTTTATTTTGTTTTTATTACTTTGACTAAATTATCTATATTTGAAAGAGACATGGAAAAATGTATTCAGCTAGCTTTTGCATTGTAATGCGTGAAGTTTATCATGTTTAAAAATATATATTCAATGGAAAGTTATTTGGTATTCTATCGCGCCAGATAGAAATATTTAAACATTTAATAAATTGAATTGTGCTTTAGATTCTCCCGTTGTTGTAATCCAAAGTTTATCTAATGAAAACACTGTGGTAGGTGGTGGTAGGCTTTTGAGATGGAGCATTTTTACTAATACAAACTTTATGTGGTTATCAAATTTAAAATTAACAAGAAAAATTTATATTTCCATTTCCTAAAAAGGTTAGTTTTTATAAATTAATACTATAGGTAAGTTAGTTTTTTTGTTAAAAGCGTAGGATATAAAGTTTGTCATTAATATTACTTTAATTACACATTGATATTTTGTTATCTGAACTTCGAAAATTGCCCGATATTATCCAAAAATACATATATCACGTGATTTATATATAGTCCAGAATTTGGAGCCGCCTAACCCCCACTTTTTTCCATTTTTATCCACAACTAAATCAGAAATCCTCTCCAGTTCTGGAGAAGTGGATTTTTCTCCCCTCTTCTTCCGTCTGGTCGAATGGACATATGAATTCGTAAAGTCTGACTTTTTCCTACAATGTAATGGACGCTGCATTTTTTCTCTTGGGTGAATGATCATCTTCTTCATCATCATCTAGGGTTCCTTAAACACCGTGCTTTTTCATGAAATTTCTTTTTCCACCGTTTTTTGTGTTAAATTTGTAAATCATGCCGAAATTTATTAATCAAGAATTTATTTCTTCACAAATTATGCCACGTGGAAAAATTTGCTACAAATTTATCCACGAGTCAATGGAAATTCGTCTCGGAAATGAAAAGAAGATTTCAAGTTTTCCAACGCTAAATTTCATTTATTTCATTTCATTTTGCTTCAACTCAAGTACTCACTGAAATCATACCACATTTTTTCTTGATTTTGTGACACAAATTAAGAGAAAGCAAGCATTTACCACCAAAAACACGGTGTCCTTTGCAACCCTGAAGATTACCATCATCATTACCGCTTTACACTTTAGAGGGGAAGACGACGAGGATGGATGAAGGAGATGCAAGTAAATATGTACTTATGTATTTTGGTATAGAAGATGCATTATTGTTGTGTGTGTGCTATTGTTGTATTGTGCATGTCACACACATCGGACTGGCTGACCTTGGTGCAAGTCAGAGTCGATCCGTGCCACGAGCCAGAATGTCCATCCATCTCGCCCAGGTGTCAAGGTTTATGTATTTTTGAAATGAATGCCGTCACGTTTTAAATGGAGAGTTAGTTTCGTTCACGGAAGAAATTTGGGGTTTGAAAGCGAATGGAAGGAAAAAACGGAGGGAGGGATGCGCGTTTCTAGGCTCAAATGTCACACGGGACCTCCGAATAGTCAAATAAGACAGGGTTCACTCTTAATAAATTGGTAACACGGTTTATTTTTTCCGAGGATTTTGCCAGTATGGTTGCAATTTTGGAAAATTTAATTTTTTCAAAACTCAAGAGTAAGAAAATTTATGACCAAAATTATAATTTTAACAAATATGTGTAACAACTTCTGCAAAAGAATTGTTCAAGGGGTAGCGATAAATTTTGATTTGCATGTAACGTAACTAATTTGGTAATTCTGGTGTCAGCACATATGCACATAACCAAATGGTATTACTTGCAAATTTACACGTGTAATGAGGATCAAAGAAACCACCGCCGAATACTCATCGATATGTTGCACACACTGGTTAATATTACCGGATTATTTAGCGTGCAAGTTTTAAACATGTTTAACCAACCTTTCCGAGGCACAGAATTGACAAGGGTGCAATATTTGCCAAGCACACAGTGGAATTTATCACCGTGCATCGTAGAATTATGACTTGGCACGAGCGATTGAGATGGAGACGCAAAAAAAGTGACGATGATTCATTTCACCTTTTTGTTGTTGTTTTCTTTGAACAATGCGGAATGAATTTCTTGTCAATATTTCTTTATTCGGATTTTCCTCACGTCGAAGGGAGCGTGGAGGAGGTGAGAAAGGAAAAGCAGTTGCATCTTCCTTATCCACGTCGTCGCGATGTTTCCGGAGCCAAAAATAGTTTGCATAAGATTAACCGTCGTTCTGGTGGTGGGGGATGTTGGTCGTCTCCGGAGAATTTCTTCCCCGGCGAGGTAATAAAAGAGACAAAGAAGATGGGAAAGAATGCACTCTGAAAAATGGAGTGCGGTTAATGTCAATGGATTTGGGAAGGAATAGGTGAGTACCAAATTGGTAAAATTGAATTGTTAAAATAACTTTGACGGGTTACCAAACGTAGGAAATTTGTTAACTAATTCGTAAGGGGCTACGACGTTTATTTCAATGTTTTGTGTAGCTCTGGCAAAATTCATGCATAGCAAATTTACACCCGATTTCTTCCAAACTGTCAGAAGTGGTGGGAACATGTTACGAATTTGGCAACACGTATGTTAGTGTGACAAGCTTGTCAAGGTGTTAGCAAAGTGGTGCTTGTCAAATTGATTATAAATCTAGGTTTTCCAAAATTTGATACTTTTACGCTTTGTTGTCCGGAGAATCCGATCCGGCAGTTTACTATCGGATCCATCAGGTCGAATCTACTTTTTACCGAAAAAATACTTGTGGTAGAATTTTTTAAGAGTGTCATCCCCTCGGAGGAGAGTGCATTTGTCTCATAATCTCTCTTCTCTTGTGTTTGATGGTGTAATGTCTGGCTTTGTTTTGCTTACTCTTCTGCCTGCACCGTCCTCGTCTGTCAGTGACAAAAAGAGCCATGAGGCAGACGATGTCATTTGTGCTCCACGACGACGATGGCAGCGGCAACCGGAAGTGAGGAAATGGATGGAGGAGACGTGGAAGAACGATGAGATGACTAATGTCCCAAGTTCCGATGTACACTGCTCGTGATGACAGCGGTGCTCTCTACATCGCTATGAAAAACAAATGGATTTCTGAATGAGATGTCTCAGTTCGTAAATAATTGAGACATTTCTGCTAATTTTTTTCCTTGTATATAAAAAATAACATGGTGTAAAAAATTGGGTTTTGTTTCCTGTTAAATGCGTATTTCTAGCTGGATCTCTGTTTGATATAAGATGAAAGTGGGTTTTTCTGTTTTGGAAATGCTCAAAATTACATAAAAGGTGGACATAAAGAATTTTTTAAATTTGAATAATTTTGATTCCAATTCGGTTTTTTGTTCCATAATATTATTAATTTAATGAGTTCTGTAGATGTTTTAAACGGTGGAATACAAACAACTCACAAATTTTACCGTGATTTAGTTCGAGTCAAATTTAGTAACTGGGTAATCTGCGCAAACTTCATATTTTAAATAACCTCAGAACACCCAGATTTTATAAATTTTAAGAGACTCCATGACTTTTAATTGTGTACCGGGTAATAAAATAACTTAATTTTAACGTCGTAAATTTGGCGTGAATAGCGTACGATGTGACTCATTTGGTTTTGGTGGTTTAAAGGAAAACTGCGAGTGCATAAATATCGGTGGCGCTCATTCGCATCCTCCCACTGAATTATTCACGTGTCCTAAAATCCCATCATTTCCGAGACTGAAATGTGCGTTAGGTTGCGTAATCACGCAGCCTTGTTTACAACTCCCCGCCCAGTTTTCAGGGTTACGCACGAATGCAGATACGACAAGAAAAGCAGAAAAAGCGATTTTTGGCTTGAGATATATGTACATAAACAAGGATCGCCACCCAGCAGACAAAACAATGATAAAAAGGGTGAAAAATCAAGTGGAGCCACTTTGTTAAATATTCCAGAAGATTGTCTGAATTTTTGTGTGTATCTAACATTCAACCATGAAAGATTGGAAACCGTGTAACTTTGATACACAAAATTTTCAAATTCAAAAATTTAGACAAATTTAGAAGATAAATTCATTTGCGTGTTGGTGCCAATTTTTGCTGTTTTTATTGACTTTACCTTTCACAACAGCTTGCATATGAAGTAATGTTATAAAATTTGTACAATTGGTTTATAGGGTTACACAGCTACAGACAAACGCGACCGGGTTCTATAAGCAGAAAACCAAGAAAATCAAAATTGAAATCCGAAATAGAAATGTTCAAAAAAATTAATACACCTAAAGTAGGTAGCAGATAGAGTTTCAACTGGTGCCAAAATTCATACCAAGTAACGAAATATATTTACGAGAATTATTCACTTTATGATGTCTGCGTGGAAAAAGTACAATATTTTAAAGTCTGAAAATCAACCTGTAGTAAAAAGTGAGTGTAGCAAGGTCGTCCACAGAGCATATTTTCAAAAGTTTCACAAATTTTACAACAAAAACATATCAAGTGTAGCTACATATTCTTGCAATTTCCCCACTTTTAACTGTCTCTTAATTCAATACCAATTTATAAAATGCCTAAGTTTACAGAAATTTACACAGGTTCCAATTTTGGCGTGAACACTATCCCACCAAGTCAATACATACATTTTTCTCTTTTTTTACTCTGCCATAAACCCAGCCCAACCCACCTGGAGAAAGTCATTCGAGCAAATGTGTCCATGAAAGTGGGCCGTAACAGGATTCCCCTAAAACTAAACTGACTGAAATCGAATTCATTTTATGTGATACAAAAAAAAACAGGTCAATTTACTTAGTTTGCGAAGCTTGGCCTTCCTTCTCTCCAGACAAATTGGACCACTTGAGGATAAGAGTTTCATTTTAAAGTGAAAGTAAAGTGCGCCCTGTTTCATCCAATTTGTCGGCGTGATGAGGAAAACAAACGGCTTAACTGACACGAATGAGACGGAGGAAGGAGAAAGTTGTCTCGTGAAAAGAAATGGATTGGAACTGATAGTGACAGCGGGACACACTAAATAAAGCCGGAAGACTATGTGCTTTTTGCGCTGAATTTGGTAGTTTTTTTACCAAATTGATAATAAACCTTATGTTAGAGGAAAATTAGGAGAAAATTTCGCCAACATTGGTAATTTTTTTAGAGAGGAAATCTTAACGTATTCGGGTAGTTAGAGGGTTTTGATTTCGAGAAAATTGGGTACCAATTTGTAGATGCTGCTTACTGCCGGTAATAACAATTCCCGCCGAAATTAAAACTTACCTCGGGCTACCAACCAGTACGACTAGTTACCCGCTAGATTCAAATTTATCGAAGGAAGGAATCGAGTGCTAACCTGGTTCCATGTGTTCGTTACCAAATTATTTAGCGTGTAACAACAGGAATGGAATGGATGTACCTCAGGTGGAAATGGAAACCACAGATTTTTTTTACCAAATATTTCCGAAAACAAAAACACACTGAGAAACTTTGGATTGCGTGAAAGAGTGGAATATATAGAAGCACAAATGAAATAAAAAAATGGAGAAAGTCCTTTTTCAGAGGTGTATGGAACGCAATCTGAATCCAATTCAGGTTCCAATTTTAGAATCTCATCTTGTTTAATACACCGATTTCATACGGGGCAAATTGGAAAATAAGGAGAAAATACGACAGAAAATAGGACTCTAGTGGGGAAAATTCAGACACAAGTTAAGGATAAATTTTTACTCGTAAGATTAAAGTTGAAAGTAGGACCCAATTTCGACCCAAGTAATTATGTAATTGAAGTCAGGTTCGATTTCGGAGAAGAGTAAATTGTACACTTTCAAGTGATTTTCTTCGTAATCCACAAATATAAAACTTGCTTATTTGTAATTTTTTACCAAATACCACGCGTATTTAATTCGCGTGAAAAAGTTATACATTTTAATACATAATTTAAAAAAAAATGCTTTTGTGTTTGTAATTATTGTAGGGTTACAAAGTTTACGGGTTTGTAAAGATGTTAGATGTAGATAAATTTTGTAGCTTCTATCTAGATTTCCACTTTGAATATTGCTTTCTGCTCGAACCACGCCAAAAGTTAGTTTAGCAAATAATTCCTATCTTACTTAATGTAAGTTTAGATTGAAACACGAATTTGTAGGTGTTGCACGTCATAATACACTTTACAGATAGTAGTAATTTCCTTGGGTAATATAAAATTAGGTTGATTCTGTTTTCTTCAATTTATTTTATTTCGGAAATTGTACATTTTTTGTTAAAACAAAAATTAAGCTGCGGACTGTTGAATATTCCACCTCTGGCGGGGGTCATCTTTGTCACACGACCCGTCAATCAAGGTGGCTTCACTCCTGAGAAAAGGGACAGACATTGAGAAACAATTTTAATGTCACCGTTAATTTGGTACGGTAAACGTGCGACACTACCGAAATGGTAATATTGAAAATTGGTACTAAACAAATATCGAATAAGCTACCAAAATTTAACCTGTTTAAAAAATTTTTGGTAACATATTTTCTGCCGAATCTACAGATTATTCCTATCCGGTAACAAACTACTACCAAGAAGAGAATCGCTACTATCCGGGAAAACTGCATAGTGCTAAATTGTATACATTTTTTAGAATACGAAATTTACCTTGTATTAACGAGACACTTGTTGGAAGACAAACTTTGCAATAAAGACTTTCCATGACTGACTGGGAAAATCTTCCAGGTTTGCTCGCTAACAAGATTGATGTCCGCAATTATTGGGGCCAATGTCCAAGAAGCGTCACCTTTTTTAAGTTACGCAATGTGATCAATATCAGAAAATTAATGGTTAAAGTCTTATCAATAAGATCGTTTTGCAAAATTGCAGAATTTTGTAAACTTTGTAGAATTAGGAAAGTTTATTAATTTGCTAATGAGTTACCATTCTGAGTGAATGTCCACCTTTGACCTTGTTCGATCCCATTGTTTGCATGTTTCCCACCGACTTTCCCGTTTCCAAAAGCGGTCAGAAACTTTAAGAAAATTTTAAAGAGTGACAAAGTAATTTTAGAAATCTATAGTTTAATCAAACTTGTAACCGTGTAATTTTTTAAGCCTTATTGATATCGGTTATGTTCAAATGAGCAATCCTGTACCATGAACATCTCAAAGTAAATTGTTACCTTTTGACGTCATTATTTGTATCAGATATTTATAAAATTAAGTTTTGACGTAGTACAATGACAAACATAAATTTAACTCGAGCATGGAAATGTAAAGTTTACAGAAGGTTTTGATACATTTTAAACCGGATTAAATTGTGAAATTTATCTAATTTTATACATTTTACACCGTTACAAAGTTTTACATGAATTGCTAAACAACTACAAAATTTACATACCGCCCCATCATGCTGGCTTTCCAACGCGTAGACACTTCCACTCACCAACTTGGTTCGTTCGAGACGAGCTTGGCAAAAGTTAAGGGTCAAAACCAACACAAAAATTGATCCCGCTTTCATTTTTATGAAAATTTTAAAATTGAAGTTGTCTAGAATTTTACACCTTTATTCTTCGTGGCCAAAGCAAAACTGAAATAGACTTTGCAGCTAAATAGAAAAAACTAATGGTGACCCCACCCCATCACCAAGAATTAGCTGAGAAACAATTGCATGCAAATTTTCATGTGTGCAAATGACGAAATCTTGCGCAATTAAGGCCAAGGTGGAAAAATAACTAAACCATATCTCACCTTACTCTTCTAGCATATTATTCATGTCACCACGAAACGAAGGGGCAGGGTGTGTTTGTTTACCTGTGGGTTGCATAACCCGTGCGTAAAGTTTGTGACCGATTTGAGGGGAATTTTGACGCATGCTAAATTTAACTAATGCAAAAAATATAGCGTATTTACATTTCAAAATTCCCTTACCTCAAAAATAATCACTCACATTTTGTGTGCATGGTCCCATGAAGTGATCATCTATCTCTTACTCGAAATATACTCACAATGAAGTCCTTAATGTAATCGAATTGAGTAAATAAACCAGTTTTCGTTAGTTGTCATCAATATATATACATACTTTTTTGAGTTTGGCAAGTTGTTGTGTCAGTAGAGCAATAAAATTGGTCTGGTTTCGTTGGGAGATGAATGAATTGGAAAATGTTAGGTGACAATGATCCTGAATTTGTGTGACAAGGTAAAAAGTATGAAAATGTGTAGCCACACACATTAAACTGTATTGTGGAACATGTTAATTTGGTATGAAAATGCATAGAGTCGACAAATTATTAAAAAAAACTCTACTGCCATTAAATAAATTTTAACATGAATTTCGTTATAATAATGACGGTAATACAGTATTACCAACCGGTGACGAATTCTTCTCAAATTATTTGGAGTGCATAAACAGATAGTGATGATGTCTGTCTGTTTTCCCATTGAAAATAGAGCAATAATGAAGCCATAAAGTTGAGGATGGGATAACTTTACGAATTATCTAGCCAGCAGACTCATTTAATTAATGGGACAGTTGAAACACGGAGACTCGAAACACTGGTAGAATGGCTCCCTTGGACAAAACTGATTTCCAAAAAAAAATATCTCCACCAGAAACAAGTTGATGGTGACAATGACACGAGAACAAAGCGGCTTTATTGGCGCTGTTATCTCGTTGTCGTTACTCTTTATTGGGTGTCTTATTACGTAACGTGCAGTTTGCATAATAGTCTTCATAAATAACTCCGAAATATGCTATCTGATTTGTTGGCAGTTTAATTTCCTAAATCTCTCGAACATGAATGTTACCATGAAATGAGATGTAAAAGTTGGATAGCATACTTATTTTGCAATGTGTCAATGCATATTATTTTGATAAATGGCCAAAATGAAGTGAATATTTTACTTGTAGAAATTAATTTGTAAATTTAGATATTTGACAAACATTTTGTAAAAAAACTTGTAAAAAAAAACATGAAAACGGTTTCATAAGGTACACGTGTGATCGACTTATATAAGAATCTAAATCGACCAAAAATTAGTCACATGCTTTGTGTTTGGTCCCTTTTCATGCCAACTTTAAGTTAAGCTCCATCTGGAAATTGTTCGGTGGTTCAAAGTAAAAGGAAATTCACGTGGCTCATATTCATCTTGAAATTCGCCATTTTCAGCAATCACAAAAATTACAAACTCGTGGCTGTAACTTGTCAAATCGACGCAGGGGTCCGACGCATTCAGTAAAATATTCTCATTTATCTGAAAAAGGGCACATGGAAGTATGAAAGGAAATCGTTGAGGAAAGAGTAAAGAACCGTTTGATTTCTTTGATGAAAAAATGTGAACACATTCAAAAAATATTACATGTTCAGGATCAAAGACATGTCAAACCACGAGTTTAGGTAAGTCACGCCATTTTGTGAAATACTGTAACAAAGTGATAAATGTGTAGGTTTTGGTACCGCATTCATTAACTTTATGGACTGGATAACAAAATCCCAACACGCTTAGGCAACTAGGGTTAAATAACTACTGATCGGAGTACATATATGACTACCGGCACGGTAATACCGAGCATTATGGTTTAGTAATGTTGTGGTAATGAAAACAAATATAATTGTAGATTTGGAAAACCATCCCATTCATAAATTATGGAATCAGTTAAGTTATGTGGCGTGTACTTTATTACAAAACATTGTTGATATTTTTGCCTAAAATGACATTGCGAAGTGCCATTGTAGATAAAATACATTAAATTACAAATGTTCGGAATCTTGTAAAATTTACGTAGGCAGACGTGGGCTTATTATTTTGTAGCCAAGAAATTTTCAAAGTACGCTTTTATACGTTACTACGCAGTATGGGGTGAGATTTGTGCTAAAGTAAAAATTGTGAATAAATAGTTTAACGTCGGTTTTTAATAATTTGTAGATTTTATTAACCAAGCGGAAAACCAAGATTGGTTGGACGAGGACTGCATTTGGTTTGGTTAATTTATATTTTACAAACTTGAAAACTTCGATTGTAATTTTGTTTAATAATTAGGACAATGTTTAAACTTCATGATAATTTAATTGTTACCAGTGTAGGTGCGATTAGGTCGATGACGACGACTAAATAATTTTTCTGTGAGAAATAAATAAATTTTCCACCACATTCAAATTAGGTTTTGACCAATTTGAGTGGGTGTAACAGTAGGAGAGCTAATTGGTAGATTGTACCCCTAACACCACGAAATATCTGATGGGGAGTAAAATCTGGCGGGAAAACTACTGCCCCCTGAAAGGGGAGGGAAAGTTGGAAGACTTTCTGCAGAGTGAAAGTAGGCGAGCCGGTCGCTCTTCAGTCTCAATCCGTCCACGAGGAAAGCAGGATTGGAGTAAGAGCCACGTGCGCCGTTTCAATTCTCACCAAACGCTGGTGAAAAAGCTATAGATTTACATAAGTTTCTGGGAAGCACTAGTTTTGTAAAACAAGAATTTTAAGTATCTAAATACATAAGTTGTAAAATTTGTGCCAAAATTGATTCTTTTTTCGGAAACACTGAAGACTTTATTTAGCCGGTGTTTTGTTGATCGAAGCACGTGCAACGGTGTGAAGTTTTTTTTGGTCGAACGCATTTATTTTGTGTCCAAAATTACAACTTAATTCAAGGGATGTGGAATAATATAAAACTGAATGTTTCCCGAGAATCATGGTAAAAAGTTCCTGATCAGATTTGGAGTAAGAGTAAGTTTAAAATTAGCGTTATATGTAAAATATTAAGTACTTGTTATTAAAATTAATTAGCTAGTAACTAGCAAGACTTTTTTGGCAAGATAAATTTGTGAAGAATTCCCTATATTATTATTTATTAGGTAAGTCCTGGAAAAATTAACATGCCTCACAGGTGTGCACTAAATTTGCATAAATAATGTAATCAATTTAAGGGAGGTGGTGGTCACGATAGAAATAAATATGCATATTGGTCTCGTGTCAAAATTTTACAAACATCTGACAAATGTACATCTTACCAAATTAAATTGTATGAATAATTTTGAAACTGAATTTTGCCGTGAAACAGCAACACTTACTGAAGACATGTAAGTAATCTGGAACTGCAATTTTGAGGAGTTGCACAACTTATTTTGTAGACTGCGTAATATTTGTAAAATGTTTCATTCAAAATCTCTAGGTTTTGCATGCAATGTAAAACTTTTAGCGTTTACAGAACAATAAATATTTCCTAATGTACCATTCAATAAACTTGTCACTTACGCAATAAATTCCATGAATATTAAGTACAAATGAGAATTTATACAAATCTAATTTTATACTTTTTCAGTGCCTTCTTGGTTAAAACCATTGATCAATTTACTTCGTTAAATAATCCATCATGATATGTTTCGAAGTTTTTTATCCGATTTCAAGTGCACCTCTAATTACGTATGTAACTACAAGAAAGACAGGTTATAAATTGGAAGTATTTGGAGTTTAATAAAATTGGCAACCATCAGTCTATTGTAGAAACTGTGACAAATTGCTATTTAAGAAATAGCACAGAGTAATCTGATTTAGGGGATCCCGATTTCCAAAGAATTCGACATACTAGAAATTTATAATTTGTCTCCTTCACTCAAACATTTTTTTATCAATTCCATTTTTCTCTCACCCAATTTCACCGGCTTCTACTTTCTCTTCGAAATAACGAGAATTTAAGATCTGGACTCGTCCAGCTCACAAAAGTTGGGAAAGCAGCAATCTAAAAAAAATAGTGGCTCCCAGAAAACAATTTCTCTAAATTGCTTCTCCACTAGTTGTTATTTTGTTCCTCTCCCATCACTTTTACTCACGCAATACAATTTGCTACGCAACGATTATACAGAAGAGACTTTACGTGAAGGAATTTTTCTAGCAATTTTCAAGTATTCCAACTCGTTACAGCATAAAACCTCAAATCTTAACGGCAATATTGTAGTAAATTTAACGCACTTTTACATCCGAAAGTTCGCAGAATAAAACAAAACGATACGAAATTATTGCGAGAAAGTTGGTCAATTTGGCCTCATCGTGTCTGGACAATGTTTTTATCTCGTTCTTTCGTACAAATATTGTTCCGGGAGCTTTTTAGGCCAGCGCAAATCCACTCTTTCACCTGACACGGGTTCCAGGCGGGTATTATTTATGGTCGGTCTTACGCAACTGGACTTGTGTCCTGTCCATTACCACGACCACCTCCGTAACGAACTCTCGTGTAGCAGGGTCGTCGTGGTCTGGAGAAAGTTGGTTGTCGGACGAAATAACGGGATGTCATATGGACAATCTTTATCTTTCCTTGGAGAGAAAGTTGTCATGGTGGTGGAGAAAGTTGCGGGTTGTAAGTAATCTTCACAAAATTGGACAATCGTGTAAAGACCGGGGTTCATTACGTTGCGTGGCACATATTTCGTAGCACTAAATTGGGACACGGAAAAATCGTTGCACACTTTTGCTCCGGCAAAGAAACTGAGTTTCAATAAAAACTAATTGGAAATTTATAAATTTTAATTTTTATGGTGAACTTGACAATTCACTGTAAAGAAATAAAACCTCAAGGTAAAAATCGAAATGACAAATTTGTTAATGTATAAAATTTCTTTTCCCTATAACGCC